ATGTTGAGACCTTTTTCAGGTGTTGGGGAAAATCTTGTGAGTTTAAGATTATAAGTTGAATTTTCTGCCTAAGTTGAATTTTCTGCCTAAGTTGAATTGTCTGCCTATCAGGGTGTCCATATTTTGGACCCCCATAATTTGAGTTTGGTGCTAAATGTTAGCTACATAAAAGTTGACATTGATTGTATCACTAATTATATAGCTTTATCTGTCCATTATTTCTGAGTACCATGTTTGCAAGACTATCAAAAATAAGTACATGTAAATATGACCATCAGTTTACAGCTATCTGACTATCAGTCGTGTATGTATCTATCAGTAGTGTATTTATCTATCTATCAGTAGTGTATGTATCTATCTGACTTATCAGTAGTGTATGTATCTATATGTGTGTATCTATCATTTATGTATCTGAATATCACTAAACACAAGTAATACTATTTTGTGAAATTTGGTCAAGACAGATTTCCTTGGATTTACTTGGGTCAACAAATCACAAGAAATAGCGCTGTATTGCCACAACCATGTGACCCATTTTATTGATCTGCATTTTTTTTTTACAGATAATTACAACATTTTGTACATTATATGCGTGATGAGGATATTTTTTCCAATCTGCGCAGCGTGCAAGAGAGCTCATTTCTGGCAGCAAGGGGTGGTAGTTGTAGGGCAACATGGAGTGGTGGTGGTTGGACAACATGGAGTTGTGGTGGGAGGACAGCATGGATCTGGTGAGGGGCAGCAGCATTCGTCTCCACCTTTGGTCGTACCTATGGGAAGCAAAATTTTTGAGAAGGAATGTTGAATATATATTCATATATATATATTTTTTTGAATGAATGAATGAACAGAAAACTTTATTTGCCGCTTTTCAGCGTTCACAAGGCACAACCAAAACTCCCGCAGCCAAACCCCCTCCCTTAATTAAAATTTTTTTTTAATTGGAAAATATTTTGGACTATACATGATCATGCAGCACATGTTCAACAAATTGAAATTCCATTAATCAGATTCCTCCAATGCATTTCAGGCAGGACTGTTATTCCTTTATCCTCCTTTGGCAAAATTTATCTGAAATTGAAACTTTAAAAATAAAAATTAGAAAGCTTGAAATTTCACAATTGGATTTTTAGGGCACACCATCACATATCATTAAAAGATGAAAATGCATGCATCCCGTGTAAGGTATTCGAGTTGGAATTTTTTTACTGATCTTGGCTTCTCAGCCTTTGGAGTTTTAAAGATTTATAGTATTGAGGGTCAAATAAAATTTAATTTTTAATTATAAACATTTTTTAAATACATACTAATTTTAAAGATAAAATTGGACATAAAACTGGGGCACAGCAGAAATAAAGGCAAAAAACGGTATTGGATAATAATATAACGGTATTAATATATCCAGACTAGAATATGTACAGTATATGCATTTCTCCTTTTTTCCACAATTTTGAAGAAGTATATATACAGTATACTGTATCATTTGAAACGCGGTGAAATGCTTTGTGCCAGTTCTGTATACACTGCTGCATATCTAAATACTTGCTTTCGTCGTCGAGGTCTCGCAGTAGTAGTAGGAGGTAGTATAGTCAACAGCAGTAGTAGTAGTAGTACAGTCTGTAGTAGTAAAGTCTTCGCTAGTACAGACTGTAAAGTAGTCCGGGGCGGTAGTAGTATAGTTTAAGCAGAAATCCAAGTTCGCCGCCCATCAAGCTGTAGGGTTATAATCAGCACATCGGTCACCATCAGTTCCCTAGTTGACTACTGTTTAGTAGTACCTCATATGCGAAATAGAACTTCTAAACAGCGCCTTAAGAGAACAACCGTCGAGACGGAAGAGATGATTCAACATAGTCAACGAGCGGCTGCTGCTGATGATGATGTTGACTATTGATCGAGGGCATCGCTGGAGCTGCTGTGACGAGGTCTGGAAACTCTTTGACGTATTGAAAGGGGAAAAAATGAATTAAAAAGTGTATATATACGAGGGGTCTAACAAAAGTTCTCAGAATATAAATTCAAAAGGCACATACTTGAGCTGAAAAGCAATTATTCCAGGTAATTCGGGATGGAAATGTGGCGGCTGTAAATGAAAATGACGGAATTACCTTCGAAGACCCTTGGAATTAATGCCACGTTGCTTTTGAAAATTCTGAGGGGAAAGCTGGGCTGCAACAACAAAATCAGCAGGAAGGGCATCTCATCTTTTGAGTGCTGGAGAGTGGAACTCTGCCAGGGTGACTTTTGCAAAACATTCAAAAAATGTGTCAAACAGGGCTGATTTTTTTCTTGTGCCAAAGAATATGTTTTCCCTAAAGAATAATTGTTTTCAGCTCAAGCATATATATATACAATGGTTGGTTCATAAGTTGTGAAAGTTTTTGAAATATATCCAACAAAGTTTCTACAATTTAAAAAAAAATTAAGGCGTGAAAAAATGCCTTGAAATTGGCAGAGAGTATGTTGAAAAGCACTCAAGTGTTGCCAAATGATGGTGCAATGCAAGTTAAAAAATGAATTTTTGAAACTCATTTGGATCTATATGAAAAAGTCTCAAAACTTGAGGGCTTACTGTCCTAATACCGCGTGGTGAGTTCGTTAAGATGAACGAGTTTACGACATGTACATAACTCACTCTAGACTAAGAAAACTTACACTCACGTTTTAGACACATACCCCCAGGAACGTAATTCCTTTTATGAAAACGCGAAAAAGGAGTTGAATCAACTTGCATTATTAAAATGAAGCTCCTTGATTAAAATGAGATTTTACGAGGATTAAAAAACCCCTCTAAACGCGACAGTTTTTTTTTCACCAACAAGAAAATAAATTGTTGCAAGAATTACTGTATAGAGTGCAATTTTGAAAAATTAATTGTTCTGTATGTCGTTTCCGTCTTTATATAATCCCGAAGTATACATTTGCCAAATCCAAACATGTCCAGTAAAATTTCCTCAAAGCGGATTAAAATATGGTATTGTCGCTGAAGAAGTAACAAAGTTTATCCAATTGAAATCGAATTGTTTTCAGAAGCTGTTGAGATTCAAACATTGATTCTATCTCTATTTTTCCTGGGGAAAATTGTGCAGGGAATTCTTTCATTTCTCATTTGATTTTTTACTGAAAATGTTTGAGGTAAAGTTAAAAAAATAATAAAAAGAACGACAAAAAGCCGTTTTTTTGTCAGACGTGAGAGAAAAGCAGCTTTTGCGAAAAGCTTCAGAAATTTCGAGTTTTTCATGTGGACTTCCCTGTCCACATGAAAAATCTCGAAATTTCTGAAAAATGTGGGGCACTCAAAGAGGCTCAAAGAAGGTACTGCATGTAAATACCAAAAATTGGGTAAATAGGAAAATTTTTCTCTAAAATAATTTAGAAAAGACGCAGGCATTAAAAAAGAAAGCTTTCCCAAATTGAAGAATTCAGAGAAATTACCTGTCGAGACTAGCAGAAGGAGAAACAGCAGCTGTTGACAAGACACCAGTTCTCTTGACATGACAAAAATAATATAAAACTTGTTTTAGAGTATTTTAGTGACTGAACTAAGATGACACTTCGAGTAATTTCTCTTCTTTCCGAGACGCTTTTCATCGGTTTTTATCCAGATAATGGAGTTTAATTTACGCTTGAAATCAATTTTTCCTGAACGAGATTCCTAAATTACGCCTTGGATTTAATCAATAAAATCTCAAACTTTTCTTAATCTCACGGTTAATTCGCTGTAGACGAAGAGTTAATAGTGCCGACGATTTTCCTTCTCAAGAAAACTATAAAGACGTCTGATTTTTAATTATTTCTCATCATTGATTAATTAAAGAAGGTTTTCTCCGGAATACTCTTTGAAATTCCCAGCAGGTGCTGTCCGCAACTTTGAAGTGATAAAAACTTGAAAATTATTTCAGAAAACAATTAGCTCATTTATTCACGATAGATTTTCTTTTCTGATCCTTGTGGCTGCTCATCTGTATACTGTATAGTAATACAGGTAGTACCTTGCAATTCAACCTCCTGCAATTTGACCATCCCACAATTTGATGGAGGGATTTGTAGGGAGGTTGATTGACCTGATTTGGCCACTTTTCTGCTGATATTTCTCAATTTTGCAAATTGTCATGCAATTCAACAAATTTGCAATTTGGCCCTAGTCTGGTGAAGGATTAGGGTTGAATTGCCAGGTACCACCTCTAGCTTGTTCATGAATAACAAACATTGTTACAACAGTCTTGTTTTACATAATGATGTTGATCACATATTGTTTTGTAGGTCCCAGCCAGATAGCCATATAATCTTCTTTGAATTTCTTGAAAAATAATTTTTTGAGAAAAGCTTTTTCCTGGTCCTCATGGCTTTTTGTTGTTACACCAGTTTAGTGCAATAAATAATTGTTAGCAACAAAACTACAAAATAATTTTCATCATTGTGCCTTGCCCAGAGAAATCAATCCATTTCAGAACTGCATTTGCTAGGTGGATTGTTCCTAGGGTGAGTCACATTTTCCCTCAATGGGTAATGTTGAGTCCATTAATTGCTTGTTACCTGTGATTTCAATACACTGAAAAGTTATATAAATTGCCTGAATTTTAAGAAAATGAATAAATTCTTGAAAACTCCTACAGATTCTTCTTAGTTACATTTCCTTGATGCTCTCCATTCTAAAATCTAAATAACCCATAGAAACTGTACCACTTGTACTTCATACACATGTGACATATTTGAGCAGAGTAGGAATCAATTATTGTATACATGACTTCGCTTTTCATGCAGCTTTTGCATGCGGTACAAGTAGGCGAGACCTTCTGCAAATATCACCAAGACGTTGAAAAGATTCAATTGGATGCTGAAGTGACGTATACAAAATAAAACCAGAAGTGCTAAAGGGAAACCAACGTTTTACTGCTAAATAGTGACAAGGTACGTAGCGCCGTATTGGAACTTACTTGAACAATCGACGGCTTTACGACGAGGCCACTCGTTTAGTTCATTCCTCGCTTTGTGAGGTAGACCGAGCGACAATACGAATCATTGGCAAAAAAGCAAGCATCGTAACGCGCCCGGAAAAAAAACCCTGAACAGAAAAAGAAAACCATTCGAAAAGAAATATGAAGAAAATCCGGAACCAAGTTCTCAACGAGGAAAAAAACAAAAACAAAAAGAAGTACACATACATTCCAATGCTCGAGTTTCCTTCAACAATTCCTTGCGCGATACAATTGCACAGCCTCTTGAAACGCATCTGGCTGGGAACCTCGGGTAACGTTCATCAGACTGGAAGTCCACAGATAGTCATTCATATCCGGTGCTTTCGTCAAAAATCTCCTGCACGAGAAACGCAAAATCAGAAAATTTAGAAAAATTGACATTTCTCGAATAACTCAATAATTATACTGTATCAAGTAAACCGTACCGGATCTGAAAATCCTTCAGCGCAGATAATCCTTGTTTGGATCGTCCGAAGTTGAACAGTTTCTTTCGAATCTTTAGCTCCCGCAATTTCATGGAATGGAAGCTTGCAATCGGAGACAGAAACTCGAAACTTTCCGGTTTCGAATTCTCGTCAGAATTCTCTCCTTCAACTTCTGCAAAAAAAAAAAAATTTGGATCAGGCTCATTTCACTTTCCAATTTATACTGCAGTACTATTTCCCAAAAGTAATAATTTACTTCAATTTTCAAAATTCATAATTTCAACAAAAGCCAAACGAAAAAAATGTATGCATATGTTCATAATACACGCCTATCTTGAACCAGCTTGTGTAATCGCAGGCTAATATAATAAATTTGCAATTATTTACAGAAGTCTTCAAAACAAAATATTCTGCAAGTTCCCATTCAGATATCGTGATGTATAGAAAACTATTATCTGTACAGGTATGTACACAAAATCTACTTCTTACGGATGGCTACTATTATAGGCATTTATTGGAGCGCATAAGACAGTGGGTTCCCCAACATTTCTGGGCCTGGGGAATGGCAAATTTCATGAATTTTTTTCATGAACCAGCGAAGTTCCATAAAAGGTTTGCAGACCAGCAGCAATTTTTTTTCAACACGAAAATAGCAAATGTTTTGTTACCGCAGGTAAAATTGCTCTGCGTCCTTTAACCAAGTAAATTGAAGTAAGTTTGAAATGTTGACTCACCAGCATCTTCAATGGCAGCGGCCAGACAGGCGGCTTTGATTTCTGCGATTAACGAAGCACTCGCAAATTTTGCACTAACGCCGATCTCGGCAAATAATCTCCCAGGCGCGAGTCTGCGTTTCACAGATATCCTGCTCACGTCATGGTCCCCGTTTTCTTGTACACCTCCGGGACGCTTCCTAGTGTCGTTCAGCAACTCACTCCAGTCAACATCAGCTATCGCTGCTATATAATTCATAAAAAGACCAAAATCATCAACCATCCGCTCCCCTACGCTCAGAAGCCCTTGACTCCGATTTGATTAGCCATCACATACGTGTCACTCAAATTTTTCTGGTGGGCGAAGAAAACAAAACGTGAGTAAATACAATACTGTAATATATTCATATGTGGAGGTTGCTGTTTATGTTTCCTCGATTCATTTTTTGTTGTTGTTCTTGACGAATTATTATTTCAAGCGACACCTGCCCAACATTCAAGAAAGTACGTGGGTGCTAACCAGAAATGAATCCATAAATCTCGACTAAAGAACTTCAACAAGAAAAAAGACCGATCTCTCATAAAGCCAATGATGAGACTTCAAAAACTGTAATCTTCCATAGGCTGTATTGTCCTCTATTTATTACTTGAGTGTTTTTACAATATCCTCACATTAAGTTTATGATTCAGATGCAAATCTTCAAAAAGGTTTATTTATTTTTTACGCTTATGACTGAACTGTTGTTTACTTCAATTTTGAATTGTCATTTGGGTACAAGGAATAGTTTAATGTTCTCTCATCAAAGTCTATAGGAAAAAATTGGTCAACAACCTTTTGTCTGGAATGGCTGATCATTTGATGAATAAAGGCCCATTCAACATTTTTGTCTCAAAAAATGTTTTCCTTGTTTCTAATCGATTTGTTTCCTTCTACGTTTAAGAAAGTTTTATCACTTCATGAAATTTTAGTGTCATGCCTCCGAAAACGTAGAACTCCGACTATTGCAGAAATATTCATGCCAGATCTTAAACCACCCAGAAATCGAATTTTTCAAGGAAGTCCAGAAGCATGTCAGCATGTTTCCGTTCGGGAAAACTCACCGGGTTTCTTTTCATCGCAAGCATCCTCCCGCTCGTCTTCGTTGGCAGTAAGCTCCTCGTCAGAGATTTCCTCGAAATCTATGGTCTCCCATTCTTCCTCTTCCACACCGATACCCATGCCAACGACACCCTCGTTGTCACTCTCATCCGCTCCCGCGCTTTGTTTCTCCGCCACAGCGGGCTTGATGTCACTGTCCGGCTCATCTTTGGCCACAGCCGAGTCAGGCAAGCAACTCGAATCGGGCTTCACGTCCACATTCGGCTTCACATCTTCCAGCTGCTTCAGATTCCGCGGTTCTTGCTCTTGAGCTCTGCAAGGATGAAAACATGGAACATTCGCGTCAGCCATATATTCGTCGCAGATCCGATATCCCGCAAGAATTTTGAAACTTTTTATGAGGAATAGTAAGAAAAAATAATACTAGGTCAACGAAAATTGAGAAAAAATTCGCAGGCAGTTCGAGAGGAATGAATATGGGCACACAGTAATATTTTGTGAACATCGAGACTGGGAGGAAGAACTGTTTCTCTATCGTCTGAGCATTTTTTCTCCTCGAATGTAATTTCAACAGGTAGACTCTCTCTATAAAAAAATCCAGGGTACAGGAAAACAATTTTTGTACAGAGAATTTCGTTGTAGAGAAATCCTAATTTTACCCATCTCTTGGGTTTTTGGAGTAATATGCCATCACGTCATGTCTCTTTTAACAGTTCCTTTCAAATGAACAAAAATTTTCAAGCTACTTTTTTATGTTGTTCCACGAGTTATAAAGGACTCGGAATTTTTTTTTCACCCACGAATGACGATTTCTATAATTTACTGTCCAATATGAAAACGAATTCTGTCATTTCTTTGTAGATATGCATAACTGAATTTTCTTCACAATGATCTCTTTCGTGGTTACTCGAGTACTGCATCACTGAAAAAAATAAAGAGGAGCGCCCAACCATATTTGCATACGGTACCCAATACTGTATAGTAAACTCGACTGATACAGTAATTAATCGACTGATACAGTAATTCTTCAAACTACAGGCATTTTTAATATGAATAACTTTATACCCAAAAAAAGAGCATGCTTGAAAAGTTCAAATTATTTTGTTCCAAATCATAAAACACGGAAACCGTTGCTTCTTTATTTGCATCTCGACTAATATTCCGCAGTGAGAAGCCAAAACAGTCCAAGTAAAAGTTATGAAGAAAAACCTCAAGATTATTCGGGTTTTTATCGGGCCATTTACCTCGAAACCGCAGATTTGTCCTCCTCTTGCGGTTTGTCTTGATTATCATTCCCAACAGGATCCATATTGGGAGATTCCCGACGTTTCACTCTCCTTCCGATGCTTTTCGGACGGTCGTCAAGAACGTCCAGTCCGAGTCCCAGCTCATCACCAGGCAAATCACCGAACCCTGCGTCCATTCTGTATCGCAACCTGAAACGATATGAGAACGCATAAATCACGGAAAATTCCACAAAACGAAAAAAAAAAATGAAAGAATACAGTTCTTTCGCGTGACTTGCGACGAAGTTTACTCATAAACAGGTAATTTTCCTGCACTTGAAAAAAAAAATTGATAAAAAAAGAAGCCTTATTCTTTTTACTCCACTCGAAAGCTTTTCATTTCGTTAAAACAAATGAACCGAGTGCCATGCTTCCCCAATATATTAGCAATTCAAAATCAAGTACTGGATTCTCTTGCACCAGTCCCGATGAACACCGTACCCAAAAACAAACCCTCGAAAAATACGGTATACACTGCTAAGTACCGGCGTTTTAAAGGTCCGACATATTTAGAATATTAAAAGAACACAAGCAAAGAATTAATTATACACGAGTAATGAACAGCATACAGTACTGCAACAGACTTCACTCGAATTTTATCGTCCCAAACAAATACAGTACACGTGATTACATTATTTTACAGCTCTTTGCCTTGCATGCACTCCAGGAATCTTTTCAATCACAGGGTTCAATACCGCACAGAAAAAGGATCTACTCTGAAAATAAAAGTTAATATAGTATTTTCCTGCCGATACCTTTTTGACCAGATGCCTTTTTCTTGTTTAAAAAAATTGATTGAATTAAATTATACTTTAAAATAAATATTGACCCGAAGTATTTACAACCTGAAAAGAAATAAATTAGCAGAATATAACTTTTTCGAAAATGACGGCATTTTTGGATTCTGAAACAACAAGCTCATAAACCCAGGGACTCGAACAACACTATAGAAATCAATTGTAAAAAAAATTGGGGCACAATTCAAATGCAATCGCGGTTAATCAAAGCAAGGGTATTCAAGATTTCGTGGTACCTGTAATTCCTCATCTTTTGCTTAATACCTCTACCTGCAGTAAAAATCATAAACTTTCCGCGTCATTTTTTCCAGTGGAACTCAGTTTCCAAGTTCTTTTCACATTTTCTCTTCAATGGACTGTGAGTTTATGTGGACAAGGGTGCATATGAATTAAATTTCAGAATACAATAAGGAAAATGAAGCACTCATTTCGTTACTACCCTTCAAGCATCATCCATTACCTACATAAAAAAAATTGAGCGTTTTCGAAAATTTTGCTAGAGATTGTTCATCATTTATCAAGAGGGCGAAAAAATATATTTAAAAAATGCTTCCCACAAACCTTTTCTCGTCCTCTCGCCAATCGGCCCCACCGTGTTTGGGGGCGCCCCGTCGCAATCGCGACAAGCGCCGCCTTCCGTCTCGCTCCCACGCGACGGGGCCCGGGTCGGCCCACGAAGGTAACCCACCAGGAGGCGGCGGTGCCAGCACCGCGTGCGGTGGAGGCGGCGGTAGTTTCAGCAACCGGTGTTCCCCACGGAGCCGCAGGCCCGCGTAAGGAGACCCAGCGCCGCCACCATCGGCTCCTCGGTGCCGCCCTCTTCTGTGCAACTCCTCGCCTTCGTAAGGCGGGAAGTCGGGGAAATGCGCTGAAGGATGCGGGAGTCCATGAACGACCCATCTGGAAGACATACGTATTTACGATCGATAAATTGAGAATACAGTAAGCGGGAAATCGCGCGGGTTTCCTCCGAAAAACCAGAACTATTCCTTCTTCAATTGGACGACCGAAGACCTACACTCAAGAGATTCACTTCGTGTTGCCTTGAGCTAGTTACCCATCACGAGAGTTAAGTGAAGTCGGCATGTGTTGAATTTGATTATTCAACGTCAAACAGAGTTACTCCAGATTTTAAAAAAAAAAAATCAGTGATTCAGGCGACATGTGCCTGCCATTCCAGAAAGGAATTTTGGGCGTTGGATGAAAAAAAAAAAAACTTTTCAAACTGGTAAAACCTCCGATTTTAAATTCTTCTTCTCACGTGATTCATAACANAATGGGTAGAGAACCCAAAAACCTCATTATACGGTAGTGCAGTACAGAGAAAATTGTCAAGGAAAGTTTACTTGTTTTTAAAAGTTCGATGAAAAAATACAACAAGGTGCTCAATATTTCCTGAGCCGATTTTTTTTTTCCACCCACGAATGACGATTTCTATAATTTACTGTCCAATACGAAAACGAATGCTGTCATTTTTTTGTAGATATGCATAACTGCATTTTCTTCACAATGATCTCTTTCGTGGTTACTCGAGTACTATATCACTGAAAAAATAAAGAGGAGAGCCCACCCATATTTGCATACGGTACCCAAAATAGTAAACTCGACTGATACAGTAATTCTTCAAACTACAGGCATTTTTGATATGAATATCTTTATACCCAAAAAAAGAGCATGCTTGAAAAGTTCAAATTATTTTGTTCCAAATCATAAAACACGGATTCTTCTTTATTTGCATCTCGACTAATATTCCGAGGTGAGAAGCAACAACAGTAAAAGTAAAAATTATTTTTAAAAACTTCTAGATTATTCGGGTTTTTATCGGGCCATTTACCTCAAAGCCGCAGATTTGTCCTCCTCTTGCGGTTTGTCTTGATTATCATTCCCAACAGGATCCATATTGGGAGATTCCCGACGTTTCACTCTCCTTCCGATGCTTTTCGGACGGTCGTCAAGAACGTCCAGTCCGAGTCCCAGCTCATCACCAGGCAAATCACCGAACCCCGCGTCCATTCTGTATCGCAACCTGAAACGATATGAGAACGCATAAATCACGGAAAATTCCACAAAACGAAACAAAAAAATGAAAGAATACAGTTCTTTCGCGTGACTTGCGACGAAGTTTACTCATAAACAGGTAATTTTCCTGCACTTGAAAAAAAATGCATAAAAAAGAAGCCTTATTCTTTTTACTCCACTCGAAAGCTTTTCATTTCGTTACAACAAATGAACCGAGTGCCATGCTTCCCCAATATATTAGCAATTCAAAATCAAGTACTGGATTCTCTTGCACCAGTCCCGATGAACACCGTACCCAAAAAACAAAAACCGAAAACAAACCCTCGAAAAATACGGTATACACTGCTAAGTACCGGCGTTTTAAAGGTCCGACATATTTAGAATATTAAAAGAACACAAGCAAAGAATTAATTATACACGAGTAATGAACAGCATACAGTACTGCAACAGACTTCACTCGAATTTTATCGTCCCAAACAAATACAGTACACGTGATTACATTATTTTACAGCTCTTTGCCTTACATGCACTCCAGGAATCTTTTCAATCACAGGGTTCAATACCGCACAGAAAAAAGGATCTACTCTGAAAATAAAAGTTAATATAGTATTTTCCTGCCGATACCTTTTTGACCAGATGCCTTTTTCTTGTTTAAAAAAATTGATTGAATTAAATTCTACATTAAAATAAATATTGACGCGAAGTATTGACAACCTGAAAAGAAATAAATTAGCAGAATATAATTTTTTCGAAAATGACGGAACTTTTGGATTCTGAAACAACAAGCTCATAAATCCAGAGACTCGAACAACTCAAAAGAAATAGCTTGAGGTACAAAAAATAGGGGCACAATTCAAATGCAATCGCGGTTAATCAAAGCAAGGGTATTCAAGATTTCGCGGTACCTGTGATTCCTCATCTTTCGCTTAATACCTCTACCTGTAGTAAAAATCATTAACTTTCCGCGTCATTTTTCCAGTGGAACTCAGTTTCCAGGTTCTTTTCACATTTTCTCTTTAATGGGCTGTGAGTTTATGTGGACAGGGGTACATATGGATTAAATTTCAAAATAAAGAAAATGAAGTACTCATTTCGCTACTACCCTTCAAGCCTCATCCATTCCTGACATTAAAAAAAATTGAGCGTTTTCGAAAATTCTGCTAGAGATTGTTCATCATTTATCAAGAAGGCGAAAAAAAGATTTTTAAAAACCGAAGGGTGTTTGGAAAAGAGCAGGAGAGCGGTTAGCCGGGGTGGCACAAACCCCCGCGGGGCAGCGTTAGCGCTGTTCGCGGCGGAAGGCAGAGCGAGGGTGCGCTGCCCCGGGCCCAGCCGGGTGGAAGGTAACCCACCAGGAGGCGGCGGTGCCAGCACCGCGTGCGGTGGAGGCGGCGGTAGTTTCAGCAACCGGTGTTCCCCACGGAGCCGCAGGCCCGCGTAAGGAGACCCAGCGCCGCCACCATCGGCTCCTCGGTGCCGCCCTCTTCTGTGCAACTCCTCGCCTTCGTAAGGCGGGAAGTCGGGGAAATGCGCTGAAGGATGCGGGAGTCCATGAACGACCCATCTAGAAGACATACGTATTTACGATCGATAAATTGAGAATACAGTAAGCGGGAAATCGCGCGGGTTTCCTCCGAAAAACCAGAACGATTGGAAGAAGTTAACCTGCTGGCTTCTGGATGTGAGTTCTCTAAGTGAAGCACAACGGAACTCGATCAATGGGTAGTGCTCTCAATTCACTTCAGCCGTACACAACTTAAACTAATAAGTTGCAGTTTGAGAGTTACTCCAGATTTTAAAAAAAAAAATCAGTGATTCAGGCGACATGTGCCTGCCATTCCAGAAAGGAATTTTGGGCGTTGGATGAAAAAAAAAAAAACTTTTCAAACTGGTAAAACCTCCGATTTTAAATTCTTCTTCTCACGTGATTCATAACAACGCAGATGGACACTAGACAAATAATTTTCAGGGCTGATGGTGATAATCTCCTGACGAATCGATCAGGATTCATTGCCAAATTCAATCCAGTACAGACCTCACTTCTTCTCGAATTTGCGAACCAGCTAATGAAAATTTCACAATTTTCCTCCAAAATTCGCATTTTTTTTCTGATATGGGTGCTCATCAGGGCGAAGCTAACGCTAAAACGCGGCCTGTAGTCGTATAAATACGGTAATACAGGTGGACCCGCTCAACAACAATCTTCTCGACAACGATTTCCTCTGTAAACGAATTTTTTTCTAGTCCCAAAGGGTTCTCTAAACCGAATTTTTTTTTCACTTGAATTTCTTTGTCGAAAGAGTCCACCTGTAATCGGTTAAACAAGATTCTTCACCTTCGGCTGCGATCATCATGATCCCAAAGCATAGGCCTCAGAAACTTAAGTTGTAGGCCGTTTCCCCGCGCTACCATCAGCTCTCCCAAGTAGCACACGTCCGGCACATTGCCGCCGCCGCCACCGCACCGGGCGTGTGGGTCCCGGTCTGAGACCAAGGCGGCAGCGACTGAAGGTTTGCTCTTGAAGCTCCTCGCTGATGCCACGCGTCCGCTTTTGCTGCCCGATCCGATGCCGCCGTCGTCATCATTGGGGTTGTTGTTGCTGTTGCCGTTTTTCCCGCGACGTCGGTTCAGTCGATCAGCTTGGCTCCGGGACCGAGAGCTGCTGCTTCCGCTGCTACTCCGACGCCGGCGACCTGACGTCGACGATCGTGCGGGCTTGCTTCGACCATGCCTATCATCCAAAAAGATGTCGAAAAAAAAATTTTTACCTTATAAAACGAACGCGTTTCTCTAAAAAGTAACTCGTACAAAGAACGCGCAATTCCCTGACAAAGACACGAAGGACAAATCATGTCCGACGTTAGGAACTTCTACCGGGAAAAAGGGTTATCGTTTGCAAGTCCACAGCAGTTTCGTTCGGGTGACTTTCCTTTCAAGAGAAGTTTTTTTCGTTTATATATTATATTTGCAGTGCTCTCGATTTTAAAAAATGTACTGGAGACATTTGTGTGGTGTGCATCGAAGCATCGAGACTAAAAACTGCGCAGCCGATCAACTTCAGACCAAATTATACAAAACTGGTAAATCTCCAGTGGTTCCAAACTGCGCATTGTTTTATTTTCAAGTTGGCAAGAATTTATCCATTCCACTTATTCATCTTCATTAAAAAAACGGGTCTCGTAAAAAGCCAAGTTTAACATAAGAATGGATCATCGTTTGCAAGTCTAGAGCAGTTTCATTCCGGCAACTTTCTTCCCAAGGGAAATTGTTGCGTTCCAATTTGAAAAGCTCTCGATTTTTTTTTTTGACCGTAATGCAGCATTTGTGTTCTGAAAACTGGAGGATCGAGTCCGAATACTGTACAGTTTATCAACTTGGGACCCATTGATTTTGAAATGGTAATTACCAGTGGTTTCCAGTGTTCGTTGCTCTATTGGAACGAACTTATCTACATAATTCTCCTCAACGAAAAACGGGGCCCATACAAAGAAAAGTTTGAGATAAGAAGGAATATAATTTTTCCGGAAACTTTCTTATTCACAGAATTTCTTCTTCTTTTTTCCTAATCCTAAGGGGAACTTTGCGGTTCAACAACCTCGAAAAAGGACTGTTGCATAATACAGTACAGTATTTAATTGAAAAAAATAAATGAAAAACCGCGTCACGCCTACTGTGAAAAAATGGGCTACAAAATACAACACCCTCATTGTTCATGAAATATTAATGTTGTGCAATTGTGCAGAATCACAACGACAAGAATATCATAATTAAAATAGGAAGGGAAATTAATTTTTGGCACTCCAAATACTGACCTGGATTCTCGGTCCATCTCTAAAAGCGTAGCTCTACGAGAAGAGCCTGCGCCGGATTTTGATGCTGCTTTATCCTTCTCTTTGCCTTGAGTGTTCCATCGAACACCGGTCTTATCATCACCCAGCTTCTTTTCTCCAGCTCTTTTTCCTTCTTTCTTCCTCCTGAAAATGTTGAAAAGCTTGTTCAACTTCTTTTGTTCACAGTCACATCTTTCCGTCCAACACATGCTGAGCGACGGAAATCGTATTTCCGTTGAAAGGCCAGAGTTTTTTTGTTTGTTTTTTTTGTTTGAATTTATTCTGTTTGATGAAAACTTCTCGAGATTTCTGTACTTCTTTTTTTGATCATCCGAGAATTATTTCCATCGCGAACTTAGGATATTCGACGTAAGCAGGCGACATTTTTTTTTCTCTCTTCAATCCAACAATTCAGATTTCTAAAAATTTACCTTCGGTTTTTTTTTTGCGATTTGAAGACTTATAAGAAAATTACACAGAAGCAGAACTTCGGGCTTCAACTCATTGCTATGCAAAGCACTGGTCGAAAACTCTGCAACACACGATTAATTCAACTTACGGTTCTGTACTGGGTGCAGGAGACTTGAGGATCGGCGGAGTACCCGAAGTCCGATTTTTCCGTCCGACGCCCCCGCCGCTACTACTGGCCGACTTGTCAGTTTCCTTCGACAAAGACCGCCGTTTACTCACAGAGCTTGGCGCGGGCGGAGAGGCGCTCCCGCTACGATTCCCACTTTTCGTCGACGGCGGCGTCGCATCTCTGTTATTAGTCTCCGGGAATCTGGACATTGTCACAGAGGACTTCAGCTTCTTGAAAGTTTTCGCCACAGGTTTCGCTTCGTCTTTTTCGTCGCGGTAAAATTTGGAATCCGGGCTGTAGGCTGGACTGCGACTCCTGGCTCGTTTTCGACTCTACAAGAAAAAGGCATCCTAAATTGTACATTTTTGAAAGTGATGCATAGGAAATATGTAAAACGACACTTGAACATTGGTGTCGAATAACTTACTGTACAGAGAACAATTTGTCATCAATACTTACTTACTTCACCCATGATAATAAAATAGTTGCTTTAGGAAGTGCGTGGGTGTATGCGGATGTCATCGAAAGTTAAAATTATATTTTCCCTATACACTGGGGAATTCAAAGTCCCCAGATGGTTCCGGGGTTTTCCTGCATCCAAAGGAGGTTTGTTCAGGGTCACGGCGATGTTCATTTTTAATATATTATTGATAGTAGATCCTGTTTCCCTCTACACCAATCACTACCTTCAACTCGTCTCCCCACATCGAATATTCGCAATTCTGACTCCATTCCGCTTAGAAATTGAATCTCCACAAAATTCGAATTCGTCCAACGGACGAGATAAATTTCCAGGCGTCCCAGAAAATGAAATAACACGAGATTAGTCTCAAGTGAAACTCACATCGGTCCTAGATGAAGAGGCCTTCATCCTGAATTCATCCTTCTTCATGAGATTACCACCAAACCCGGCAGTTTTACCGGGGAACACAGGCAACCGTGACTCGACACGTTTTCGGTCCGGCGACGTCTTTACAACTTTAGTCCTCGCGTAATTGCGATTCCTGGACGGACCGGCGCGATCATTACCCCCACGAACTCTGCTTCTCACAACAGATCGAGGCTTTCTCGGAGAATCTTTGTCGCTGTACGAAGAACTGCTGGAGTTGGTCGAGCTTGACCCCGAAGTTGAACTGGAACTAGAACTTGACGAACTTCGGGAGCTCCCGCTAGATGCATTCTATTTCAGGTAAAAAAAAAAAAAAAATTAAAAAACTATGATCAAAATGCTACCTACAGTACTTTAATCATATGAACACAGTACACGATTTTATTGTGCTTATTCGTCAATAATAAAGTTGCACAATATCTCTTCCAACAATGTACCTCATTTTCTAAAATGTTGGATAGGTGTTGGCCCAATTACTGAACTGAGGAACATACTGTATTATCAAATGTAACGATAACACTAACCCAACGCGGTTCAATCCGAAATGAAATAGTTAATCCGAGTTCAAGTAAACCACTTAATACAAAAGAACGCAAGAAAAAATTAGGAGAAACTTACGTAATAACGAATAAAAACCATGAAATCCGGGAAGTCCGGCGGTGAATTGAAAAAAAGTATTCTTTACATATGAAATTACATTAATTTTAACACATATTCAACAAAAACAAACAAATCCTTCGAAAAGACTCTTCGTATTATCAGCGGTAAAATCAGTCGATTCAATGAAGAATAATGCGATTATCAATGACAAAAGATCCTCGGCTAAAACATCTTTCGAACAAAATAAAAAAACTAATATTTTAATAAATTTTGAAAGCAATGAGGAATACTTGAATTATGAGTGCCTGGAGCATCGAAGAAAATACCTTTCTTTTCCTAGCACCACGGGATCGTCTACTAGCTTGATCTTCCGATGAACTGCGACGTTTCCGGCGAGCGTTCCCGCCTCGACCACCATTTCCCCCGGAACTAGACACAGGTGAGCAGGATTTCCTCTTTTTCATAGTTTCTTCGGTTTCCTTCCTTCCCCTTGCGGAATGTAACTGCTTCTGATGAGAAAGAAACGAACACAAAATTTAGTTGGGAATAAGAGACTATGCTCTCCAGCAACAAAATGTATGCACTGGTGTAAAGTGCTACAATGCAAACATAAATTTTCTTCACTTCCGTTATAGATTATACAATCAGTTTCTGAATTCAGTACTTCCTTTAGAAGAAGAAAAAAATCTCAACTAAATTGGGATCGTAAATAATTTTTTTTGTTTAAAACGCGCTTTTTCCGCGGAGAAGATTTCTTAAATAGAAAAAAATCACCTTTTTTCCTTGCGAAACTTTAGGACGACTCGTCGAACCTGCCAAGTGTTCTTTGATCTTGTGACTCTTTTTCGAAGAATCCCGACTGCTGCTGCTCCCACTGGATTCGTCGCTCTCAACGACCTCTTGTGGTATGCTTCCAGAGAAAAATATGCGAAGAAATGGAATGCGCAGAATTCAAATAAGAATCCTTAGGGGTGAAATAAAATTATAAATTCTATGGGTAATTAATTTATTCATTGGTGCAACCTTCACGTGAACATTCCATTTTTTTAGATAAAGAAAAAGTATTAGCAAGTTTAAAAATATACACACAGCATACTGTGTATTTACAGATACACATATACAGTAGAATCACCTTATAAAATAATCAATTACCACAAATTCGATTAGATCCCTGTCCAAAAGCAATAATGTTACTCTAGTTTCTTCATAACGAATTTTTCTTTATAAAGAATCTGATGTATTTCACTGGTACCAGTGATTTCGTTGTAACGAGATACAACTGTAAATAATAATTAATTTACTATATATACCGTTTTGATTCTTCTTCGACAGTCGAAGTCGCGGAAGCTCCGGGTTTCACTCCGTTCACTCCACTTCCCTCTTCATCCAAATTAACGGAGTTATTCGGCGGTTCTTCGCCACAAGTGACAGTATCTTCTGAAGAACCAACGCCGGCGCCTTCCGACTGCGTCTTACTTTTCCGTTTCCGCTCGACAATTTCCGCAGCAGCAGCTGCGGCTGCAGCAAGCTTTGCGGAGTTCCGCGGGGTCGGTCCAGGTCCGGGCAACGGCGGGAACGGGAAGGGATCAAGTCTAAACCCAACGTCCACCCGCTTTGTCGAGACGGACTAACGAGATTAGATTAAAACGAAGAAGAAACGAAAATAAATAAAAAATTGCTAGATGTTCATCTCCTCAATGCCCTCGGTTAATGCACCCCTCTTGTTTTGGAATCATATGAACTTTTGTTCCATCAATTGAGAACAAAAAAGGAAAGGGTCCCAAGAAACAATTCCATTTCTGGTGAGACTGAATAGAAATATTGCACAGTTTAACCTCTCCAAGTCAAATTTAAAGGGACCAGCAAAAAAATTCGACTTAGAGAGGTTTTGAATTGTAGAGGTTTCAGGTAAAAAACAATAGCCTTTTTGTTCTGGGAAACAGAAGAATTGCCCAAAATTGTAAATGGTGATGTTCTGGTGCTTACATTGCTTCTTAAATTAATGAAAAGGATGCTTAACTTGGAGGCAAGGGTTCATTTGCCCAATTAAGTACAGTATATCACTTCCTTTAAGAACACGTCAATTTCTGTTTTTATTGCATTTTTTTTCTTGAGCAAAGAAAATAAAAGCCAACAGGGCAGAGAAAATTCGACTTACGGAGGTTTGAGGGGAAAAACCTTTGACTTAGGAAGGTTTTTAATTTATTGTTTCTAAGAAGATTCAGACGGGAACCTGAAAAAATTTGACTTTGGGAGGTGAAGTATTTGACTTACGGAGGTTCGAGTTACCAAGGTTCAACTCTACAATGAATTGAAATTTTCGAAGTTCTTCAGTATTCCCATTAGTTTATGACGAAAAATACGTGGCAACACAAAAAATTATCGTACTAGTTTGTAGAGATGTTCTGGTGCAATTCAGACCCTGGGTAAAACAAGCAGAGAAGCCCCTTTGAAATATGCCAAGAAGATTTTTCGGCGTATATAAAAATATAGAAAATGTTATTACAGGTATTTCAACCTGGAGATACTCAGAGAAAGATGGGATTCAGTTTAGGTCGAAATGTCGTCACGACGGCCACTGACGATAGAAAAATGTCACCTCGTAGCTAACCTAGTAGGATAACCTGCATAAATGATTCAAACCGGAATAAAAACGCTCACCGGAGGATTTGACGTAGTTTCGCTGAAAGCTGGTTTCGGATGCGAGGTTGATTTCTTGCTCGCCGGGATACGAATGCGATCGCTCACGATGTGTGTCTTCTGCTTGAGTTCCAACTTGATCTTTCGACGTCCATGCACACCTTCTTTCACTGACATTTCGTGAAAGCAACGCTATTCAAATACCGTATCACTTTGCACGCGAAAACATTTTCTGCTCAATATCGCACGGCTCTTCGTGACTCGCGAACATAGACCTGAACCAAAGCAATAGATCTATGCATAATCTGAAATAAGATCACGCTGATTTTCATTCGGAATCATGTTCGGTAATGCAATTGAAATACACTTTTCTCGCTTAAATCAATCAATGCTCACACTCTTTTCCGCCCCGGGCTGACGAAAAAAGAAAACAACAAAACATATGACCTTGATCGCAGTCAACCACGACAAGAAAGTGAATACACACCAACCAACCAACCAACGAAAAATAAATAGGAATGCTCTTACTTTTCGTTACTGTCAATTAACCAATGAAATTCACGACCACCAAATGTAGAATTATGTGAGCAAAGATAAAGTCCGCGAAACCTCGTTCAGGAGTGATGCCGGCGAATTTATCCTTATTCTGAGGATTCACCTGAAGTCGAAGACAAACTGCAAAAAAAGAAATGAACAACCGCCTTACTTCGTATTGTATTTCACACGTGGTACCACAATTTCCAGAATGTATTAAAGATTAATAGCTCGAAATTCGCGTGATAGACGAAAATCTGATTTTCTAATGAAATGGAACAGCCTTCATTTCACTACCAAGGTAAAAAAAAAGAATGATCTTCGAACTACCGGTACTAAATCGAGACTTCGAAATAATCCCATAAATACCGATGGGTTTCGAATTTCATCGAGTTAGCTTTCCAAAAATCGTTATTGGCTGACTTTAACGAAAGGCTATTACCATCTTGACCCATCTGAAAACGAAACACACAAAATTCGCAAAAAATGCCGAATTTATTTTCTATGCCGACGTTTATTTTTATTTTTACTACAGTAATTAGCACTACTTAGCGAAGTGCCTAGCATAGCTCCCATGCTTTTCAACAACAGCATCAATCCCTTCTGTCAACAATTCATTGTTGGCTGTGGGACGCTATCGTGATCCTCGATTTCCTGTGCCACTTGAACAAGACGAAAAAAAAAAACTACGGACTGGGTTGTTGTTAAAAGGAACGCAGCAAATATTGAAAAATGTTTGCTATAAATGTTATTCTTCAAAGAAAAATCAGAATACAGTGTAGGTGGTAAAGTTTTCCGCGTTATTTTGATGACGACGACGGTCATTTTTAGAAAGATAAATGAAATTTTACTGGTCAAATAATTCAACAAAATTCAATTTTCCTTCACCTAAACGGTAACACGCACCAGAAAAGATCCCGAATTGAAAATCGAACTACTTATTCCGGGTTTAACCAATTCGACGTCGTATTTTCGTAGTACAGTACTGTACATATAAATCGAGCGAATCATAAAGTTTAATTATACGCTTCATAAAATACCACCAAGATGATTATAAAATGACTTGGCTGTTATGCTTTGTACTAGCAATTCAAGGAATGCAAAAATTGTCTTACCGGCCAAAGAAAAGCATCCAACGGTGGAGATGAATCCAGAAAGGAAGGAATTAAAGGGAAAAGTGCCAACCAGACAGCAGTAGACAAACTGCAGGATCCCAGTCAGCAAAACATACAGAAGGTATGCATCAATGATCTTGAGTCTCTTCGGCGTTGATGCAACATAATCCTTATGCAACTTGCCACAAACCGACATTAGACTCACGACCATTGTCCCAGATTTAATTTTCGACGCAACGAAATCGCACAATTCGTACCTGAATGGATGAGACAATTCTTCATCAAAATTCTGCAAAACGAAAAAAACACAAGGCAAACTCGTACAAGAGTGAAAATGCGTACTACATTCTCACAATATATAACCCAATCTTTGTCTGGAACTTCTTTAAAAAATACCGCCACACGTGGAAAACCGAAGGAGTCGTACGATCATCAGAGATGAAATGCCTCAAGCGTCCAGAACATGGACCAAAAACAAAAATAAAAAACAAGATCTTCGAAAAGCTCAGATTCAGAGTCTCATCTAGTCCACACCTCGTAGCACCAACAGGAAAAATTCAATAACGGAACCGCTTCTCGAGAAATGAATACCCTAAACTTTGTATTTACAACTCAGTTGAAGTGCTATTGTTCAAATTCCCCGATTGAATAGTGCACCACCCTTTCAGAATAAACGAAGCGTTATTTGAAACACGATACGTGGAAGCGAGACAGTTTTTCAGCAAGATCGATACTTCCGTGATTTTGCAAGTGAAAAAATTCAGCTTCCCTTCCGATTTCCCCAATTATTCGCAGAAAATCCCATAAAATTGAATCTTTCTTCACAATCACCAGTTTCAACGAAAATCTTTTTGGATAATCAAGCATACGGAAAGATTTTAATCGATTGACAGAACTGAAAGTCATGGCTTTAAAATCCAGCTCTTCTGGAATAAGAATTTTAATAAAGAAGTATATTCTGCTTTCAAGACACCAGGCATTCCCAATTCCGAACACTTCCGAAACCACAAATCGAAAATACGGCACTTTGCTCAATGTAACCTAGTAACGAACAGGAACTAAAAAATAAATAAATAAAAACCAAAACACTCGAAAAAAAAAAGAAAACCCACCAAGATAGGACTAATTCAACGAGTAACTTTTGTAATCCCTCTAAGCTTTTTTGTGAACTGCCCTTGAGAACCCAAATTCTGATTCTCATCATCAAGCAACCGTTTTTTGACACCGCCTTCCGCTACTACGAAAGGCTCTTGAACGAAGTCGTTGATCGCCTTCACGTTCTTTGAAGGCAGTCGCTGGTCTAATGTAAGTTGAAATTGGACCCTGCCGGGGCTTTGGGAAGGTGGACGGATTCTGTTATTGTACGGACTGACGTACAACCTTACTTCTTTGGACACGCGTTTCCTGGGTGACATGGCAGTCTGAAGTCTGGGACGCGGAGATAAATACTGTAAGGATTCGTCCGTGTTTCCACTTCGGTCGCCAAAAAAGGTTTGAGCGAAGCCCCCAAGCTTGTCTACGAAAACCTAGAGAGAAAAATAATTTTTCAGGTTCTTAATGGACAAGCTTTACAATATGAGAAGGGCGAAATTTGGATTTCCAGAAAATCCCTCGCAAATTCCCATGTGTCAAATGCAATTTCAATTACCCTAACCGAAAAAATTTTGGTTCAAACCTCCCTCAGTCAAATTTTAACGGTATTTTCACTATTACATAGGTGATCAATTTTGAAGCACCAGTTCCAGGAGAACACAGATGCACATCATTTTCGTTAAGCTCACAAGGGATTAGAGCAGTGGTAGACAATTTTCCTGCAGATAGGACATCTATTAATAATCATAATGAACTGTTCTAATTATTTTGCCAAAAAATAATTTTTATTGATTATTCTCCCCAAACGAAGCCACATTTCTGTAACTTGAAAACTCTCCAAGTTGAATTTTGGGAGTTCCTTCAAATTTGACTTTAACAGGCTTGACAGTACTGAACAATCAAATCAACTTTACAATGGTGAACGTATGCTTCTGGATAATATGCTCCATCAGCATGTACAAACTGCTTGTGACTTATACTGTATTTGCACAAGGACCATGTGCACCTTTTTCAGGAAAATTCAGGCAATAAAGTGAACTGCACTTGATATGTGGGCAAAAATAAAGATAATGAAACTATATTGGTGTTTGTAAAAAGTTGGTTTGAGGTGAAAAAAAATGGATAGGAAATTCGGTTTGGCAAAGATCCTGATTCAATTTTTTATTTATTTAATTACCAGGTCCTTTTGTTGAAATTTAGACAGGATTTGGTCAACAAAAATAAAAAAGGGTCTTGAGCAGGGACTGGTTTTTTTTTGGCAAATTTTGATCCAAAAAATCAAGTATCTAGTCTTGCTTGTGGGTTCAAGGTACTCAAGTGAATATTGAATACTCTGTCTGGTTGATTAATCTTAAATTGTTACAATAATTATGGTTTGAAACATTGGAAAGCAGTTAATTTTTCGATTGAAAATATTGCCACAGAATATACGTCCCTGGTTCCCCTAAGGTACTCCAGTTCAATACTTCTCTTCAGATAAACACACTGATTTTTACCCCGGCTCTTAGTTGACAGCTCGACACATGAAAGCACTAGCGTTGCAATCTGGAAGAACAGCTTTCACGCTTTCGGAAGAGATAAAAAGCAGCATCTAGTCCCACCATTGAACCAATTCGTGTTCGAGACAAAATTTCAAGATACAGGGCAGAAAATTAAAATGAATAAAACTTACCTCATTATAAAATTGAATGATATCCCCTCGATCACCAGCATGTGCCTCACTGACTGGTGTGACAGGCACTCCAGGATGTCTGATCAATACCGATCTGTAGATCATGGAAGCCGCATTCCGCTGGGTTCGGTAACACCTCATGATATCTTCAAATCGCAGCTCTTCCCCAGTGACCTTACACATGACGTAGATGCAACACATGAGGATCTGGTCCATGTGTCGACCGCGCATGATCTGCGTGAAATTGCAAATGGCGTGCTCGAAACACGTCCACGTCCTCTGCACTAAGTCCCCAGGTTTCATCTCTAACAATTCGTTGAAACAGTTCAGCCTCACATAAGCCAGGTAATAGAACTTGCGAAAGAATATCTCCACGCTCGTGTGGTTTCTCGTTGATTTCTTTGGTTCCGAGTCCGGTTTTGTTTCCGGAACACCGTTCGACTCTGTTTTCGACTCAATCTGCTGGTACTGGGCTACGATATTGCGTCCGATCTCCTCCAACTGACCCGGGAGGAATGCATCGGCACACGTGGGAATTTTCAAGGGGAGCCCTTTCGGATAAATTTTCTCCCAAAGCGGACTATCATCCATCCAAGCCATGGATTCCAGAATTTGTTCCTCTAATTTTTTGAGGTGTGAGACCATAAGATGGCTTAGATCAGGTTCGACACGAATCATAAGCTCGATCACTTTGAAGAAATGAAAAGCTGGGAGGGACAAGGAATTCAAGATCCAGGGAAACGCGTATCGAACATCGTGTGTGCAATACAACACGAGTTCGAAGCACAACGCTACAAGTGCAAAATGAAGCACGGTTTCGTTCAACACAGCACACAACAAATCGTCCGACAACCGAGACTTTTCGTCAGCAATTAGCCCTTCTAAAACTTTGTAGTACAATGCAATCGCATACGTTTCTTGAGCTTCAACACCGGATATTTCTTGACCATGATGTTCCCGGAATTTGGCAACACAAGCCTGAACAATCTGATCTATCTTTGTTTCCAGACTGACGTCGCATCCATTGCTAAGTTTCGTCAAATTTTCCAGCAACTTATCACTCGGACTCCTCGTCAATCCGTTCAACAGATTTTGCAAATTTGCAACATTTTCTGCGGTTCTCTTTGAATCACTGCGGCGTTGGGTGAGGTTCACAATATTTCTAGGGCTATACATGACGGCACCTGAGTCCAACAAAGGCTCTACCCCGAAATGCAACGACGAAGACAACTTTCTTGGTAATCGTAAGAGTTGTAAGTCATCATAACCGCGCATCTTTTCATTCGATTCGTAGTAGACAGCAAATATGCCGTGAACATTCCAAGCAATATTTTCCTCGTTCAAACAGCCCATCAGCGATCTGTCGAGCTTCAATGTCTCGCGTTCACTCAGGATAGATAATCGGGCAATTAATCCATTTGACCTGATTCCACGTGCGTCATTGAAAAAACTGTTGAAACGATTGCAGAGTTGTTCAAGAAGCGCTGGGGGGTCTCTGCAGTCGAATATTTCTCGGGGGAACATATCGAAATTTCTATTGAGCAAATGAGTGTATCCAGCAGTCACCACATTTTGGATTATATATTCGATGCAGACAAGCAGCAAAGTGTTGGAGGAGACTATGTCCAGACAGTTTCCCTCTTCTTGTCTGATGTAGCTGAATAACCCCCAAGCAAATTGGAAAACATCTTCCGACGTCGGCGGCTTCTTTAATTCGCCAGGTTGCTTTTTTCTGGCGTTTTTCGAATCTTGCAGCTTTGAGCTGAGTGCAGCATCAGAAACTTCAGCTCCTGGCACGAACATCTTCCAAAACATTTCATCGTAGGACCGGAAAATCAGCTTAGAAACGATAAATGCATCGTATTGTTGCTTGAGTACCGGGAACATCCTCTCAGCATTCAGGGAATTCATCGCCGTCCAGTTTTCACATCTCTTCATGAACCCTCCAAATGACGAATTGAAGGTTATCAGTAAGTTTGCGAGCGACAAGGAGCTGTTGACATGTGGACCTGAGGGTTGAACGTGAAAGAAAATTACGATGAGAACGCTTCGGCTAAATGCTGTAACAGGAAAAATTGCACAAACCTTTCATATCATTCGGTGTGTGGAAGTAGAGCGAACAGGCGAGCCACTTCATCGGTTCCCCTTCAAGAACGTATTTCGAGTTAACATCCAGATACGCACGGAAAGCATTCTCCGTCGCGTTCTGCGATGCCTTTAAGGATTTGGCAACACTACGAAACTGGTTTTGTAGTGCCGAGGTACCCGAATCACTTTGCTTTTCATTTCCTTTCAGCGTCGTCTTCATATTGTTCAAATCATAGATTCCCTGAGAATAAAATAAAAGCATCTTCAACGACAATATCACAGCTGATTTTTAATCTATAGCGTCCGAACATAGGACAAAAATGTTGAGGCTGCAACAAAACTTCAAAATCGAAAAAGAACCAGAAAGATTCACGCCACGTCGCATTCATTGAATAAGGACCAGTCCCATGAAAATAGTTCGATGACAATATTCATTCAGACTCCAATCGGAAACTCTCTGCTCAGGCCGCGCCAACGAAGTCTGTAACCATCGCCATTAACCCGACAAGAATCAGTTCAGAGGCATAGCAGTAATAACACAAATCCCATTACAATACCGCCCGGGCGATTGCATTCCACGAAATAATTCGTTCCCTATACTGTTCATGAGAAATCTACCCGCCCGGTAAAACAAGACGGTCGCTGCTGCGACTCGTCATCAAAACAATCGCAGTTGCCTCAGGGATCTCATAATAACTACAGCGCGCAACGGGTAGAGCAACGATTGACAAATTCCAAGTACAATACAGTACGCGACTGAAGCGCCAGCTGTGGTGAGAGGTGTGACATATGTCGTGTAATGCCGAAAAATGCTACCTCTTACTTTACCAGGATGGTTTCATGCATTCGAAATTTATTAAATTTTAATTTTAAAAACTTTTCTTCTTGTTAAATGAAATTCTGATTGTACAAGAGCCAAGCTGTTGACATAAAAATCCCTCACAGCAAAAATGCTTTTTGGATTACTTGTGGACCGGTACTACAAATTCAGAATGGATGCGATGTAGACACACCGGCTGCTGGCCTGCGCTGGCCTGAAGAAAGGGAATGCCACTTTCTGCTAGAAGGCGATAAAGGTAAGGTCAAGGAAGAGTCGCCCAGGTATTTATTATTGATGACTTCTTGTACGAGTTATTTCGAAGTGATTGCCGTGTATCACGTGGTGCAGTGAGGACGCAGGAAAATATCGAGATGTTCTGTGGAATAGTAACTGTCTTCCTTGAATCACGAGATTTTTCAATGCGCAGGTTTCAGTGTGAAGCATGTCTGTTTCGAGACCTAAAGCTGGTGATTCTGAGGAAGAACTCTTGAAACTTCAGCATGAATTTCTCAAGCAGAATAATCCGCCTGCGTATACCGTGCTTCAAAATACTTCTGCCCCGTTGACCGATAGTGAGTAAACTTGAACCATACGTCGTTATTTCAGAAATTTATTCCTCACTGTAATACATTTCCAGCACTCCGTGAGCCTTGTCTGCCAGAGGTGCCGACTATTGATGTTTGCGGTGATGTCGTCGAAAGTGAAGCAAAAATCACGAAACCTTACCATTTCAAAGCTGTGTGCCATTCCGGATTTCCCGAAGTCATAAAGATTGAAACTTCTGGGAAACCCTCCTGTGGCAAGAGTTTGTTTCGTCAAAGAATGGCACAGAAGAGGGGAGAATCCGTCAAGAGTGACATTCGATCGACAGGTGATTTATGCCGTAAGTTGCCGTTACGGTGTCAAACGGCCAGTGAATGAATGGTTACAGTATTATTTCAGGTCCGACTAAAATTACCCGAGTTGTCGAAACCAACGTGGTTCGTGACAGTATCTCCGACGAAGTCCAGACTGAAAATACGGCGAAGCTTGCAGCTATGTCGTTGCAGGAAATCGAGAGACAGCGCGCGGAAATCATGTCAACGGTTGACCCAAAAACTATCGAGTTTTTAAGATCAGCTGGCCGGAAACGAACAGCAGTGAAAGATAACCACGATAAAGCATCCGAAGACGTCGAAAAGTTCGTTTCTGAAATTGAATCAAGTGTCACGCAAGTGTTGCCGATTGACCTCGACCTTGCGAGGAATGAGTTCGTGAATATGAGTGAGGTGGAGTATGAGAAATTAAAATGGATGACGGAACTTCCTGAACCCGAGAGGAAAAACGAAGGTTTCAGTGCCCGGTTCGATTTCGAAGGTTCGTAAATAAAGCGCACCAATTATTGTAATGTGGCCCTGACTTCGATTTCCAATTCCGCAAGTTTATAAAGCTTCAAACTGTTGGACATTTTTAAATTTTTGGAATTCATAGCCATTTTAAATCGTTGGATTAGTCTCTCAGTACATAGCTACTTTTTTTTCAGGAAATCTTCTCCTTGCGAGAGACATGAATTTACCTGTTACAAAAGGATTACACCATCACGGTGAAGAGCCAGAAAAACCTGGGTATTCATTGTCGGAATTGTTTACGCTCGGCCGATCAAGTTTCTCCGCTCAGAAAGTTGTAGCTTTAAATGTAATGGCTTCCATCATTCGTAAGGTCAGTCTTAAATTATTTTAATGAAGACAGATTTTCATGAGAAGAATCGAAAATTTTATTTTGCTTCTCCAGGCACACTTGGGCGTATTTGACGGAGTTTTTGACAAAAACATTCTGGAGCAATTCTTGGATTGTGGAGGCTTACTGCTCATCCGGTTTGCATTAGATGACAATAGTGAAGGCGTTCTTCCTGCCGCCGTAAACGCTCTGTACGCATTGCTGTGTTGTGAAACCGACGAGGTGATTGAACATTTTAAATCATATCTTCTTTTAAACTCAGTTTTTTTTTTTTATAGAGGTGTCTTGACAGAATAATTGGACCTTTTGAGCTGATGCTTCAGCCGTCGATGCCCACAAAAGTTGTACTCGACGAGCATTCTTCCAAAGAAATACAAAACGAAGGCGGGGAGAAAAGCTTGAAGGATGTTGAGTTGCTGAAGCTAGATGTGGTGAAAGCTTTGATCAGAATGAACATATTGCCAAGGTTGAGGTAAGCTTTTTGAGTAATTATTTGAATATTTCCATGTATGGTGTCCTAGAAATCACTGGACTTTTATGAAAGTTGACTTGAAGAGTTGAAGTTTCAATAAAATGTGTTCAAAAAATTTATTTACGTAAAACGCGGATCCCGAAGAGCTAATTTCTCTCCTTCAAGTCACTCTCTTGGACGCTGTTGATGCGTTTTAATTCAAGCTACATTTCTCGAATTACAGTACTGTGCTTATTTCGTAGAACGTCCTTCCAATTCGGAAATTGGCAAATTGTATTAGTTTGTTAACTTTATTCTCCTAGGTACATAATAATGCGTCTAAAACCAGCTCCTCCTACGGTGATAAAAGTTATGGGAATATTAATACGGATTGCGAGGCACTCCGTCGAAGCCAGTGAAGAAATCCTGAAAACAGAAGGGCTTTTGGAGTTCATCTCAGAAAGTTTCATTCCTTCAACAACCGGTGGAACAGGCAAGTTCAGGTCTAGTTTTTTTCTTGAAACAGTTCCTCTAACTAACTACGCTCTTATGGTTATTTGCAGGAGAGATTTCCGTGCAGCTCAAGGATGTATACGGAATTCCATTGAGACATGCCTTGAAGCTCATTCGTGTGCTTTCATCTCACAGACGCCAGAATGCAGTTGCATTGTTCAATAACACAAAAGTCATGGAATCTGTCATTTGTTACATCTCGTTTGACCCGAGGTAAAATGGTGTTAATGGTTCATTTCACTGATGAAGGTGAAAAACATCCTATGTTATTTTTTGCAGTGAACTGGGATTACCATTGCAGGAATCCCTTCTCTTGAGTCTCGAAAGTTATTGGACCTGGACAGTGTTCTTGACCTTTGAATTGGGAGAAGAGGCGTTTTTGTGAGTATGAAGGGTATTCCGTTATGGAAAATACTTCGGGGTATTCTGAATAAAAAAATTTAGAAGAAAGCCCTATTACAAGGATTGTACTGTACTACTTCGATCCTGTAGCTTTTGTAGCGGCAATTTTCTGCGAGACCTCGAATTAATATATATGTATACATATTTTTTTTACTTGAATTTATTTTTATTGACTTAATTAATGTTTCCAGAAATGACAATTTTTCGAGTGCAAAATCCTTTTTTTAATTTGCTGAACGGTTTTCAGATCTTTGTACCCCATTCTTGTGCGCCAACTGAGCTACTATGAGCAGAAAATTTCAGTCAACTCCGACGTGCATGCGAATACCTTCAATTACGACTTAGGAAGCGCACTTCTGGGTGTCTTCGAAGTCGCTGTTCGACTCGCTCGCGGAAGGAGAAACAGACGTAACGATTCTGAGTAAGGGCTCTAATGCAACTTACTTGATTGGCGTAGGAATAAAAATTTCCTGTTGTTTTAGCTCGTTATGTATCACTTGGGAGCATGTGTCTTCCATCACAATGTCTGCCTGTGTTTTGGTGCAGAAATGGATGACTGAAGCGACCCGAGACAAAATGATCGTAAGTGTGAGTTGAATTTTCAAAGTGCCAGGGGATGAACAGTCTTTTCGTATACAGTTTTCAGGATGGAAACTGATCGGTGCAGCAATACGACTGCTTCAGGAATGTGTATCGTGCGAAGAAACAGTGTGTGGTATTTTAATAGTTTTTTTTTATCACTTTCGGGAATTTAAACGTTTCCTACTACCCCTTTTTTTAGAGTGGTCGGAAAAACAGCGCTATCCGGGACGGCGTGTCGAAAGTCATAAATGTCTATTTAGGATCATCACATTTCGAAAAAATCGTGGACGAAATGACGTGAGTTCTATTCAATTCTTCTCCCGTTTCTGTCCTTGAAAATCACCCTTTAGAAATTAGCATTATTTCATTGTAACAAATAGAACATGCTGATAGAAGTCGCGTGTTGGATATACAGTACATACTAATTCAAGAACATCACTTGATGACGGAACAGATTGAATCTTAGATACTTGGATATTTTTTGCGTGTGATCAAGCCGAGATAAGCACACGAACTGAAATTCGAGAGTATTACAACAATATACAGAACAGTGCTCCTGTACTTATTCACTCAAATGTGTTTGGGGGGGGGGGGGGGGGGGAAGTGGATAACATTTGTCATTTTAGCTCTTTGGCTTTCTGCACAGAGTCCTTGCCATTATTTGAAAGAACATCTCTTGAAATCGCATTCATAAAAATTGAATGATACAGCTAGTGCAGGAATAATTTTATGCTGAATTTCAAATGAACAGCAAAATATTGAACTGTTTGGGTTCTACTTCATTACTGCTGTGATTTTTGTCTCAATTTAAAAAAATTGTGATTGTATTTTAAGCGTGAAAAAATGTTCTTTCTTCCAGAAAAATTATTCGGAAGATGAAAAACTCAGTTTCCGGTTGCCTTCGAGATCCTGGAAATCTACCCACGCTGGGCACTGCTCACTGGTTGGGAGACAAATGTGGCAGTCTAGAACTGACCCCAGCATTGTTGATGGATGAAAGTCCTATATTCTTCTTGGAGAGTTTAATCCGCTTCTTGAATCTTGCTCTCGAAACCCATCTTCTCGATGGTCTCGACTTTAAGGTGTGGTATCTGTGTTGCATGTATAGTATATCATGAAATTTACTGAAAGTATTCGAGGTTATGAAATGTAATTTCGTCTTCGGTCTTTCCAAAATCTTCGAATGAAATAGTTCAAAACTTTAGATTTTCACATTCACGATGTTGCATTATAAATTATTATCCTTGCTTCGATTAAAGATGTATTCGAGGAGCATTTCTCCAATTTTATACCGAAAAGCATTTTCGACGTTTCGTGATCGAATATACCGTTTTTTTTTTATTTCTGAAGTTTCATGAATGCGAGGGTCGTATTACAATTGTACAGTATTTCGAGCAGAGATTGAAATTATTTGTGTCCCTTTCCGTCTCCTCTTTTTAAAATGTATTCCTCTCTATGATAAATTGGAAAAGTCTTGTAGTTTATGAATGTTCTTTTATCTGCTTAAAAATTACATATAGAAAAATCATTTCAGTCCCCTCAGTATCATTGCAAACACAGTCGATCGTTGTCAACTTGTCAATTATGATTAAAATTCTTGTTGCCTTTAGTTGTCAGAAATTCTCTAGTATTTTGAAGAAGGCATTTCCATCATTGGCCCGCACAACAGCGGGTCCACAGTATATACAATATTCTGGAAACGTATCCAATCTCATCGTTTTTACAGTTGACAGAAAATGCATATCAGGCCTTCGGGGTGCTTTTGGAAGCGCACCCTGCGAAGAGTTCAGCTTTCTCGGGATGGTTTTGCAGAGAAGAGACGACTTTGATGGCAAGATGCGTTGAATTATTCACTCGCCTGGACGACGTAGAAGTTGTAAGTTTTAGTATGCACACCATGAACGTCTCGCTCGAAAATTTTCAATTTCAAGAATGACTTTGGAACGAACGTTTTGTCTGATCTTGAACTGCGCAAAAATCAAGGAATCTGAAGTAAAATATTGAGAGTTTTGAATGACGTTACGCTAAAATTTGATGCAAATTATTCACGAAAACGTGGAAAAGCTTTTTTCGGCAATACTTCGATTCAATTGCTCAGTCACTCGAATTTTCTTATTTTTCAGATGATCGACCATAAAGTCATTTTTCGAGTTGCACTTGACTTGATGAGTCAGCTGCAAGGTGGTCAAGAAGGGCTTCTGTTGTATTTGATGGATCATGTATTATTTTCACGGAAATTTATGGAGTACGTATTTGAAAATTTCTTCCTCGTTCCGCAGAATTACGAAATTCCCTTTTCTGATATTAGGAAACTGGGCTGTAAAAGTGAACGGAATATATGGGAAAATTGCTTGCATCAATTGGACTCGATGCGAGCTATGTACTCGGCTCTGGTTAATGCTGATCAAGATTGCTTCCATCGGAGCATATCCGAATTTTACAAAATCCAAACGTTTTGCGTGGCGAAAGGGAGCGAAGGCATTCTTCCCTCTGACTGGATTTTCTTGCCGATCTGCGTCCTTTATGCGAACATTCAAAATTCGTGAGAAATTTTCCAGCCTCGTTTAAACAGAAACTGAAATGCCGGCTTTCACCGATATCCCAATAGCTTGTCGCAAACAGCTTTGAGTGAAACCTCTTGCTTTTTTTAAAATGCTAATCGTATTCTTTACTGTTACGATTGAATCAAATTGCATTCCTTCGCATTATTTAGATTTTTATTGGTGTGACTACGAACTTAATTTGCATGTGGTTTTTGCACATGAATCGTTCCAATAGGCCAAGCAGCTTTACCACGTATCTCACGTTGTACCCGAGCAAGCTCGCCGTCAACACAATTACTTCAAATTTGCTGTGGCTTTATTTGGTAACGAGCATTTGTGGTGTAGAGGAGACTGGACTTACGTCAGGTGCTATCTTTTGTCGTTTATGCCTTGTTTTCCTTTCTGGTGAGTCATTTTTAAATGATTTACTGTTCTGTCCAATTTCTAATTGTCGCTTCCTATTTTGAAAGGGGATGATTTCTTCTTGGTGGAAGAAATTAAGGCGTTGTTGAGCGCAGTTTTTTCCAAGCTGACGCGAGTAGATCTGAACGAAGAGATACCCGGCCTGACGTCGTTTCTGGACTTGTGAGTTATTTCAAAGTAGTTAAATTTATTTTCTTTGATTACGGTTTTTGTTTTTTTCAATGAATAGTTTTTCAAATTTTGTGGATCATTTCATGGGTGTCTCCTACGGCGATGAGTTGTTCCAAAACTTCGTGTTGATGCCCATGCAGAGGCAGCAAAATGTCGAATACCGACGGTTGGTTTGGGGCGAAAAAAGCGCCGCGTTGCGTGTTCTGACGTTACGAACGACTCCGGTATGTAGACATGTTCTTATTTCACCTTGAACGGATGATTTTTTCATATACGATGTCTTACTAGTTCATGAGTAATTTGTTGGGAGAGCGAGAAGTTGACGATGAGATGTTGAAACTATATCGCCATGCCCTGCAAAGTGGTGAGATCACCTGCATATCCACATTCTTTTATTTTTTCTCTCTCTTTTTTAGAATTGGAGCTTTTAATCTTGTCTCTTTATGTAATGCAGGCGTGGTTAGAGCTGATCGTCAACCAGTGCTGTACAAAATAGCCGTCCACCACCTTGATTTGGAGTCTCGAGATGGTAAAATTGATCAATGATCGCGTCATCCGTAACATTGCTTCAATGAGATTTTTTAAATGATTTTGTTTAATCCGTGGATTACAGTTCCAGGTTTTTGAGACGGCATTATGCTAATTCTCATTCAAGATTATTGCTAGTGAAGGAGATAATCCTGGATTTATCTTTTGGTTTCCAGATGCCAGAGACTTACTCTGAGTGATGTGCGTCATTGGTAACAAATGGAGTGCGACTTATCGGAAGGCAGGGTGTCGCGGTTGACTGACTTAATGCCTTTCGGTGATGCGCGCAGTGAGAATAACTTGACAAATTTCTCTCAATTGGAGAATTTGAATGACGTCAGTGTTGCTTGCTATTGTGGAAATGGGAAATCCCAGTTTGATGCTTCCAGTCTCCAACCCATGGAAAATATCGAAGAGTTCGGTAAGTTTCGAACACATTTTTAATACAATCATAAGTATCGTTAGACATCAACGCTCGACTTAGATTTTTTGAAGTATCGCGCAGGTGTCGCTTGAATTTCAAAACTGACCGAAATCGCCGTATTTGACCTCATTCAAAGCAACCCATCCTTAATGGCAACAATCCGGGCGAATTTAAACCGGAAAAAATGTTGAAAATTTATGGAACGTCACGAAATGCAGACGACACTCTAGTAATTGCAAAGAATGTCCCGGTCTTCGACATTTCGTAATAAAGTGGAAAAAGTATGAATGTGGAATTGAGCAGATTTTTTTTTTTTTTTTTTAGCTGAAGGCCCGCTCTGCAACCTCTCAGCTAGGAACACTGACGGGGAATCGCTGAGTTTTGAGTTCAACGGAATCTCCGTTCCTAACTGTGAATTCGATTTTTCCACGAATGGTGAATCATTGTTCCGAATATTGTCGCCAGTCGCCGCGCATGGTGTCGAATCACAGGGGCAGAAAATTGTCGAAAATGGGGATAAGTCTCCTGTTCATGTAAGTCAGTTTTAGACGGAATATTGTAAGTTAACTCTGAGGGATTTTTTTTATTGCACAGGAGGGAGAAAATCCCGAGAAACAGACGACGAAAGAGAATTGTATTATGCGCTCAGGTGAGACTTGTTATAAACATCAATAATAACGCAGCTAGCCTCTTTTTTTCATCCTCTACGTTATTTTCTAGCCGATTTGCCGGTGGTAGAAGACCGTTCAATTGATATCCCTGTGGTCGATCGAAGTGCCTTGAACGATGATGGTGCTAAGGAGGAAGATAGGCGGTTGGAAGAACGCGTGAGTGAAACCGGTGACCAAATCCGTCGACTATTGAGTGCATCCCTCTGAAGTTCACTCGACTTCCTTTACGTAGAAAAAGGCACTCCAGATGCTCAACTTTTTCAATAAAGTTTCTGCCGGGCGTGTGAGGTCTCCTGCCGAGCTGAAGTGTACCATCTGTACACCTCATAAGCTGTTCACGGCGCAGACTTCGTTGGTTTGCCATTACCGGTCCCATGCTGGTATGTTGGTCGTAACGCTATTTTCGTCCCGAATTTAGTTTTTTTTTTAACCCGCGTTCAACTTTGGTTTTTGAGCGTATCCTTGAAATTTGTGAAGATTAATGACCATTCTTTTAGCCTTTTCAGTGTAATTTTCTACATCCTTGTTGAATCTCACGTTATTAACGACAAATTAAATTTCTGATCTCAGTGAATTATTTTTTGACGCAAGAGCAGAAATTTCTCTAATTTAATTTTCTTGATTCATGAAAAGATTGGTTCCTTTTCACTTTAACCTCCAGCCTTAATCTCATGATTGTCCAGCAGAAGTCACCAAAATCCCCAACCTCACGCAATTCCGTCGTGGGGGAGGATTTAAAGTTCTGTATTCAGGCGACGCTTGTCACCTGTGTGATGGGAGCGTTCATCTTTGAGCCAGGGACGTCTGACCTTTGATTTGAACAAACGATAAACGGTTACCATAATACAGTATTTATGGTTTGAGAAATGAAGTACTGTAATTAGCTGTTTTTGGTGACCTTGATTTTTTTTTAAGGTTCGAAGCATTTACAGATCTTCCCTGTTCGAATTTTATCATTGGCTGACTACCTGTACCTGAGTAGAATATTTTTTTTCTTTCTTTAAGGAATCAAACCTTACATCTGCAGTACGTGTGGATCATCTTTCACCCGCCAACATAGCTTGAATTACCACATGATGCTCCATACAAATGCGATTAAATTCAAGTGTGAAGTGTGTCAACACGTTTGTCGTCACCGGTCTCATTTCAAGGAGCATATGAGGAAACACACTGGAGAGACCCCTTTCGAATGTTCCGAATGCAAAAGAGGGTAAATTTCATGTGCTTGAAATTTCTCCGGGCTCGTATGAAAAATATCGAGTACCGCCTAGGTTCAAAACACGGAATACATACAAGCGGCATTTGTACTATCGGCATGGAAAAATACTGACAGCTGAAGGCGGCGTGATCATCATGGCTCCGGAGGAGTTCAAGAAAGTCAAAACAAATCCCAGACCGAAAGGGAAGAGGAAACGTGCTAGAAAATGCGATACTGCGTCGGATTCTGTCGATCTCGATACATGCTAGTGGAGGCTTTGAAAAATAATGCGATGATTGAAACTAATGAGAGGAATTTGAAAGTATTACTTCCCGGTGAATGGTTATCGCGTGGCAATGTGTAGCTTTAGAGTACCCAGGCTTGATTATTGACCCATTTTCGTATTATTATTTTTTTATGAAAGCTTAACCAATTGTGTAGCGCGTGATAGATTTTCTGTATACAGTGGTATTAGTTCTTCAGAGCGATTGAATAGTTCCCCTTCATTCGTGGTATGTTCTTCATTTTCTGCACATCGTTCATTTCAACTTATCATAATTATAGGCGTTTTAACGCAGTTTTCTGTCCTGGCAACGGATTTTTCGTCTTCGCTTGAAGCTCTAGTCCTCGCCTTTTGCTTTAATGTTTGAAAGATTTTGGCTGCTACTAGATTTTTTGGATAAATTTTAATCCAGCAGAAGATCACAGCTTCTTTTGTTTGCACGCTGATTTTCCGATTAAAAAAAGTACGGACATTATTTGCATTTTTTACGTCTCCTGATGCAGCTTTCATTTGTCTTGAAGAGCGTTGGGTTGAAATCAAGCCTGGCAGATCCTTGTGTTTCATCGTATGTTTTATGTTATTGCTAAAATAGCCTGTATCATTTGGCCGTGCTGTGTACCCGAACAAAAGCAAAAGTGTAATTGGAGAAACTGTGTTCAGCAGCTTTGGTGAGTGTCGAATCTATGGCTTTTGTCGTCTAAATAGGCATATATTTTCCGATTCCTTGGAGCTTCCTCGAACTGTGATTCCGACTAGCTTTTTTCCCCCGCCCAAGAAAGTGAATGCTTGTCATTTTCGCGAATTTATTTGCTCTGCTTTTTTGTGCTTTGAACAAAGCTTCGTGTGAGACAGTCCATGAACTTCATTCTCCTATTGTGTCAGCCAACAAAAGGCTAAATTTTGCGACTTGTCGAAATCGTCTTCAGAGTATGTAGAAATAATTTTGAAGTGTTTCAGGGTACTGAATTCAGAAATTGAGGTCTATTTCTTGTTTTTTTTTTTACACGAATCTTAATATCCACGTTTTTGACTTCTAATTTCAATGAGTTGTATTTTCTCAAACAAATTAATGAGTTGCGACTAATTTGAGACAGGTATTGTTGACTGTATATTATTCCGGGAGTGATGTGGCGACGTAATCCAGTTTTCCAGAATCCGCGCGTGACCGTGTATAGCCCGAGACAGCATGCCGTGCTAATGCCCCGGCCGCGCATTCATTTCAACAAGCACTTCGTCCCGGGGTCAGCCTTCACTTGGAAGCGAGATGCAAACAACGTTGAAACCCAGACAGAATTGGTGTCTTCGTTGCAAAAGACCAGACAACAGTTGGCAACTCTGGAAGCCAGCAGTATCGAAGAAGACGAAGACGAACTCAGAAAAATGGCGCTTCTTTCCCAGAAGGTCAAGCAAGAGACGAAGCTGAAGGAGGAAGGAAGTCGACTGAAAGCCGCTGCGAATATTGTTCGTCCATTTTGCCAGTTTTACGCCAAGTATGGATATTGTCAAAGGATTTCCAGTGGATGTCCTTTCAATCATCGTGCCACCGGGATGACAAAAAGGTGAGAAACGAGTTATTCCTAAATTTTCTGTCCTAATTTTTTTTTTTCAATCCTTAAAAATGCGGAAGAAAAGCGAGGGACCTATGAAAATTAAACGCACGTTTGGGAAAAGTAGTACTTTTCGCCTTTCCTCCCATATACAGTAACTAAAAACCGAAAATAAGCTGAACTAATCGGGTCATTTTAAATTGTATTTTGACGCTTCAATAGTCTGCTTCAGAACAGAATATCTTTAAGACCTCTACCAGCGTAATAATCTGGCAACTCGTCGCCATCTCGAGTTTAATTGTGTAAATTTTTGTTATGATTTCAAAGGACGACAAAATTTTCAGAAATATAGTCGATTTCATTTTTTGGAATATCGACATGGATCTCATTTGATCCCTCGGAAGGAGTACTGAACTTTTAGCTGTGACTTCGGAATTTTCAAAATGAATAAAGGCTCTCGACATTCCGGTGGAGGAGTAATTTAAGATATGCCGCAAGACCGTCGATTATTTAATCTTCTCTGCACTTTTTCCTTGGCTCAGTTCTGATTGGGCAGTTGTTAGTGAGATTAACTTTTAAGCTGAAAATTTCAGTTGTCGCTGTATCTCATCCCGTCTGATTTATATTTTCCCCCGTGTTTGGTAGTTCTTCGAGGTACAAACTAAGGAATTACGCAACCGGATCGCAGAGTGCTCTGAAATCAAAACAAGAGGCTCCCGTGTGCAAATATTTTCTGAAATCTGGCTACTGCCTGAAGGGTATTCGCGGTATCTGCAAGTTCAATCATTCATTCCGCTTGAGGCCCAACATTTCGTTATTTGCGAGGCCGTCGTCAAATATAGTATTGCAGCGAAGATCGGACTTTCAAGCTGGGAAATTGCAAAATGCTCGGCCCGCATGGCAATTGCAGCTTCAGCACAATAGACAACAGTTTCAAATGTCCGCGTTGATGAATTCTTCTCGAAGACAAACTTACATCGCCTCTCGGCTGGTTGCCAAAAGCTTGCGGACGTTGAGGAAACCTGTTGCACGGGTTCCGCCGAGACCCGTGCCTGTTTGCAAATTTTATTTACGGCGAGGTTTTTGTCCCAAAATGAAAACTGGCTGCCCTTTTTCTCATCGGAGATTCGGGCGGAACCGAGTGAAGAAAAACGCCATCAAAGTAAGTTTTTATATGCATACAAACTTTAAAAACGTTTTTGTGTTGGTGAGAAATGTTCTAATCGAGTTTCGACTAAATTTATTTTGCGTAAAATATTTTGATTTTTGTGCAAAAAATGCGATTTTGACCCGTATAGGCCGTCCTAGTATTTTGGCTAATGGAATATCGGAAAATATGGGATTTCTTATTTCACGTATATGAGTGTCATTGTATTGATTTCGACTCTGAACGAGCATTGCTTTTACAGAAATTAATTTTTCTCGTAGGAATGAGCACTCTTTTTTTTTTAGATTACGAAAGTCACCTCAGAGGAAATGATCGAGACGGAAGAGGAAGCACAAAATCGCGCGAAGGAAATTTTGCATCGGAAGCGGGCGATTATAGCTCAGAAGAACAAGCTGATCACTTGCACTCCACCTCAAGTTCCCTTCAAGAAGAGGCTAAAAACTCCGAGAAGCATCGTTAGCAGGTTCAAAGTTGTCCGAATACATGTGGAACAGGGAGAACAGAAAAATCGCTACGTTTTCCGTCGTTCGTTGTCCACGAGCAAGAGAGAGAGAACAGAGTCTTTCTCCACGTCCAAAAGATCTGCGCAACAGTAAGTGCAATATTCAATTTGTGATCGATTCGATTTCAGCACTTGTCCTCTTGCTGGATTACATGGGAATCGAGACGACAGAATAATATTTGCACTGGAGGCGTTGTGATAATTTTTGTGTTTCAGGAATTATTCGGCGAGGAGATTATCGTTGCTGAGGAAATCGCTCAAGGCGTCGCCGCAAAGTGCCGCCAAATTCCGTTGGAGAGCGAAATCAGATTGTGGATTGTTCATCAGGAGAGGCTTTTGTGAACGAAAGGAGAACGGCACGTGTCCTTACCTGCACGACTCGGAAAAAATTTCCATGTGTTCAATGTGAGTATTGTGTCCTTTTGTTAAATTACGCAATCCGTATTTGCGAAAATCATATTGAGTATGAAGACGAAATTAGGCGTTAAAATAAAAATAAATTCAATTAATTAAAGTAGGAAAAGCGTCATTCGTTGAGTAAGGTTGAAAACTTATTCCATCACTAGCTTCTCCAATGAATTTTCCCGTCAACACGAAAAAATTGAACTCTTTGAAGCGAAAATTCTGAAACAGTCAGTCAATTCGTGGTTTTAATCTGCTAATTCTAGTCCCACGATCTACTTATTTGTAACTTCGTGGCTGTGAGTCCTTCGTGTATTGAAAAAACGAACCGTATGAGCTGCGGCTTGATTTGCTTGTGTCTTTTTTTATCGTAAATTATCAAATTTTCCAATTTAAAAAAAACCATCTTTCGATTATTCAGTTCCAGTTTTCTGGAGACAGGTGAATTCCATGAGTTTATTCCATTCCTCGTTTGATTTGTCGTGAACTGTCAAGATGAAATATTCTCGTCAAAGTTGTGGATAAATCTTGATATTTTTCTTCAATTATTAGGTTCCTTGCTGAGGGAAAATGTGATTTGCCGAGTTGTATGTTGGTGCACCGTTCGACGTGGACCGGCAGACAGACTCAGCCAACGTGTGTGCTGCGATTAAGAGGGCTTTGCGACGGAACCCGTGCAAACGGAAAGCCCTGTGTGTTCTTTCACCCGGAAGAACCAGTGGAAAAGCTCAAGAAACGTGTGCTGTGTGGGGATTTCATGCGAAGCGGCTATTGTCGATTAGGAAACGAGGTAAGTCTTTTTTTTTTACCTCCACATCGATCGGTAATTTTTGCTTTGAAGTTTCTGCTATTTTCCTCGCTTTTACACATCAACAGACCACCTTGCTGATTTTCGGTTGCTGAAGCTTGCTCTTTTGAGCACCAGTGGTTTTGACTTCCCGTTCAGATCCTTGTTCTTCCATGTTTTATAGTACTTCACAGTACAGTACTGTGCTTTTTCTCGCGCATTTCACCGAGTTCAGCTGTCTCATTATTTTGAAGAATGCTCTTATGACGTACTTTTTTTTTACAGCTAAAATATTGTTTAGTTGTTGCGAAGCTTTTGGAGTCCCAGTACTTGATCGCTTTGAGTTTTTCGCCAGTTTTGAACATTTTCGTCGCAAAATTCACTACATTTTTTTTTTAGATACCACGAGCTACTTGTTTTCCTTCTGGTTTGAACGCGATTCGCCAAGACATCCTAGCTTCTTTTTTATTTTGTTCACACTGCATCATAGAGAAAGGATAATTTTGGAAACATCTATCGTATACTGTATGTAACTTAGCATCCAGCGGCGTACAGTAATTCGGTGATCTGTAATTTTTTTTAATTTCGAGAGATTAAATTCCTGAATTTTTTCTGGTGTTTTTCCCCATCTCGGGGCTTCTTTTGTTTCTCGCCGGGAAGTCGAAAGAATCCCTCCAAATACAGAACACCTGATATTTTTAAGCTGTTGATGATGTGTACGGGAGAATCCGCGGTCAATAGTGTTGCAGCGCGTGTCACGACGAAATAATGTTCTGAAGAATCTTGTCGATTTTACGTTTCAGTGTCAAAAATTACACGTGAATATTTGCCAGAAGTTTGCACTAGCAGGGCGCTGCCCGATAGGCAACGCGTGTCGTGACTACCACTTCAAAACAAGATTGGGTCTGCAGAAAAATTCGAATATGCAAAAGAATGGGCCACTGAATGCTGCAAATCCTTCGTTGCCGTCGATATGTCTCCCGAGTGCAAAACAAAAGACTTGCTAACACCAGAATTCCATCCGATTGTGACAAAGGGAGCGCGGCAAACAGGCGTTTCTGTGGAAGAGGGAAAGAAATCGTCACCTGAAAGTGTTAACCCTGTTGGGTCGGAAGTGCTGTGACGTTTTTGCTTGTGTTTCATGATGACGGGTTCTTTTTTTTCTCTTATACTTTCTGAATGAGGAAGACTGGTTTTCTCGATACGCTGATTTCTGAAATCTCTCGTTTATAAATTTTGTTTTCAGTTTGCGGTTCATTTTCAGGTGAGTCCGAGAGTTCCTCATTGAGTGCCTGTGTCGGATTACCCGAAAACCAGGTGTATGAGATTGATATTCGTCGGTTTCTCACCCTTAGGCAAACTTTTTGTTATTATGGCCCTGTTTTTGACTTTCTCTGAAAAATTTTAGTGTCATGCCTGGGTGACCCTTTTTTTTGTCTGTGCGCGACCGTTTGAATTTTCTAGTCGAAAGGAAGGTTTTGCATGGTATTTTCATTTTGTGAGAGTTAAGCCAGACTCCGATGTTCTCGGAAAAACGAGTCCTTGACAATAAGTTCGGATGGAAAAAGTAAACGACGTTACCGCTGAGAAACTCAGCCTTTTTTTTTGACGATTCGAATGCATGATTGTAATAAACTGATGTTATTTTTCTACCACAGGATCTCAGTACAGTGAAAAACGGTTTGAATTCGCCTTGCCGCGATTTTCGCTGATTTTTGACATCCACAGGATGTAAGTACAGTATTCAACTGTTTTCTAAAGTATTATCCTCTGGTTTTTTTTCGTAAATTTCCTCTTGTCGAGTTTTTAGATTCATAATATGGGGCGTGTAAGTAAAGATCGTTCAGTGTGAGATTTTAAATCAATTTCATCAGTTTTATTACTGGTTTTTTTTTCTAGTATTTTAAGAATTTTTTCAGATGTCTTGGGTAGTCGGAAGTACTGTACGTAGTAATTTTACTTATTCATCTGGAATTCCTCTTTGCCCTGGAGCATTGTGACGAAATTACAGGACGGTTAACGAGGTCTGATCATTTTTTTGGGTAGACATTTTATAGAAAGACTTTTTTATTCGATTTTTATACAGTATTTGGATTGCTTCAAGAAAAATGTATTTCTCTTGACGCATTTGCCCCTAGTTGGATGGACCTCAGTTCCGTTTCGTTCAAGGCTTGAACCACTTGAAAAATTTTGACTTTTCTACTGGAACTAAGCTTTTTGAACGCTTTTTTGTGTGATCCGGCAATATTTGTTTACGCTATTTTGTCCATTTTTCATATAGGGGAACAAAAACAAAAGATGACAAGAGCCCGGTGGAGGCTGAGGGGAGGAGAGTCAAGGCGACTATGCGGAAATCGAGGGGAGGTGGGCCACCCCGGAAGCCGACGTCAAAACGGAATGATGCAAAACGCAAGCGTTCTGGCTCTTCTTCGTCATCTTCTTCCTCATCCTCCTCTTCGTCTTCTGGATCATCTTCCAGTTCCCGCAGCTCTTCTTCTGACTCTGGTTCGTCGTCCTCATCGTCTTCGGGGTCATCTTCTGGCTCGGATTCGTCCACGTCGCCCGTTCGAGGCAAGAAGAAGCCAGCAGGAGGGAAGAAGGATGATAAGAAGGCATTGCCGCCCGTGGATGTGGGTAAAAAGGATGATAGGAAAAAAGTAGTCGACAAGGACGAGGATAAAGAGAATGCCGAAAAAGTTTTGGTCGAAGAGGTTAAGCCGAAGGAGAAGCCTAAAGAGGATACTCCGCTTGCTGAGAAAGATGCTCTGAAGCCGAAGCTTCGTACCCGTTCTCGTTCACCGTGAGTCTCAACTTGTTATCCTTCTTGTACTCGCGTAATCCATTAATTCTGATTATTAAACCAAAGTACAATACTGTACTCAAGTACTATACTTCCATCAAAACTTGATATTTGAACGTCGTCGATGAAAGTATTTTTTATATTTGCCAGCACGGAACCACCTGAAAATTTGTGTGATAGTGTTTCGCAGTGACGTTGAACATGACAAATGGAAAGAATGTTCTAGCAGTGGTGAAAGCTTACAGTACAGTACTTCATGTTCAAAAATTATTTCATGTGAGGTGGTATCAATTGCTTCATGTTCCGCTCTGTGTTTCCTCTCAGGCTGAGTAAATCGAAATCCCGGAGTGCTTCCCGAAGCCCGGTTGGGAAACGAAGGAGCCGATCGCCGAACAGGCTCGTGGACCGGAGCAACGATCGTGGCGCCGTGGGCCTGAGAGCAACTAGCCCGCCGCTGAAGCGTCGCCGGTCACCGACGCCGCCGCAGAAACCGATCCGCGTCCACATTGGCCGCCTTACGCGCAACGTCACCAAGGAGCACGTGATGGAGATTTTCTCCGTTTACGGAACAGTGAAGAACGTAGAATTGCCGACGGATCCTCGAGCGCCGCATCTGCACCGCGGCGTGGCCTGGGTTGAATTCACCGATCCGAAGGAGGCCGAGGACGCCATGAGGCACATGGATGGCGGACAAATCGACGGACAGGAAATTACGGCTGCGCCGGTGTTGGAAGGCAGCTTCAGGGACAGGAGGCGTCCGGGGCAAGGGCCACCACCGCAACGGAGGATGTCGCCGCCTCCTAGGCGAGCTCCTGTTAGGAGACGTTCTCCTCCGCCACCTAGGTGAATAATTCCGTCATTTGATTCTTGTGAAACTTGCTCTTCGTTTTTCTAATTTTTGTAAAGCAAATTTTTCTTATAACTTTCATTTTTTGTCTCCCATCTGAGGAAGAAAATTCAGTATTTAGGATTTCTCTATTTTATTTGCAAATCTTTTAGAAACTTGACCTGGAAGCGGTCGATCACATTCTTATTCATCCATCGTTTTGAATAACTCAGCATTTTTTTCGGATGGAGATCTGAACATGTAGAAGCCATTGTGCTTCGAACTTTTCGAAGGATGGTTGATGTGGCAGACATTCAATTTATTTCTTCAGCAATACCTTGACCCTTGGTTAAAATTTATCTCAGCAGCATGACACCTGTCTCCGTGATACCATATCAGTTTTTTCCGACGAGATTTCCACCTGAACTGCTGTCATTTTTTGCTGTTGGAGGTACACAAGCATCGAATGCAGAGTTTCCTAGCCAATTTGACCCTAGAAATCCATTATACGAAAGAAAAAAGTAATTTAATCCTGATCTATTTTTGTGGAGCAGCCGCGAAGCTGTTGGTAAGTTCGTGAGGAGCCCTTGGGACACTGCGGAGCGCAGGTTGAGAATCTGTGCTCTACAGCATTACAATTTTAGCGCATATTAGCATTACGTACAGTATTTTTTGCATTAAGTACAGTGTAAGGATATTAACGTATCACTTCTGTTTTGTTTTTCTTCTTTTTTATATTAAAAAAATAGATTCAGGAGGAGGAGCCCGGTGAGGAGGTCGAGATCGAGATCACCGCGAAGGCGTTCCCCGCCGTTCCGCCGCCGCGGCGGCGTGTCCCGGTCCAAGTCCCCACGCCGATCCCCGCGTCGATTCAGCCGGTCTCCGCGCCGTCTGAGCCGATCGCCGCGTCGAGTGTCCAAGTCTCCTCGCCGGCTGTCCAGGTCACCACGCCGACTCAGCTCCAAGTCTCCGCGTCGGCCGTCCAAGTCGCCTCGCAGGGTGTCCAAGTCACCTCGTCGAATGTCCAAGTCTCCGCGACGAGTGTCGAAATCGCCACGAAGATCCAAGTCGCCGCGTAGGTCGCGCTCTCCACGCAGATCCAGGTCTCCGCGAAGGTCTCGTTCGCCGCGCATGCGCAGGCGCCGCTCTCGTTCCCGCTCCTCTTCATCCTCTTCGTCGCATTAAAGGCCCCTGCTGAGCCATTTTGTTTCCTTTTTTTTTGGTTCTCGCCGCCAGAAAGGGTAAAGGGGGAATTGAGATGACTGGAAAGGAAGCGGTTGAAACTTGGATACGAAGGCGAAAATAAATGGAAGAAGAAGAGAACGTGATTTTGCGTTCGGCGATGACGAAGAAGAGCGAGAGAGAATTTGAAGATGGGGGTGTTTCTTGTGTAGCAGTGAAACGGGCAATTGGACGAATCATTCGTTGGCGTGTTGGTCGTGTTTTTCTGCCTATCGTATGTGTGTATACTGTACTCGTAAGACTTTTCACTGTTTTTGCCCCTCCGAGATGGCGTTGACTTCGGAATTTTTCTCGAGCTAAATTCCTTCTATTTTAAATCGAAAGAAGTTTTTTTTTTGCGTTTTGTTTCTGAGATTTGTAGGAAAAATTATTGCCCAGTTCCGAGTCTAAAGGATGAATTCATGCTGAAATAAAGAGCTACGGAGGTGTTCGGTCTCCGTACAATTTCTTTATCGTTATCATTTGTTTTTAGAATATATTTTCTTTTGTTGATTTATCTCAAAATTTTCAAGGATTTCTTTTCTAATTTTCCGGACTCACGTATTCTGATTTGTGAAATTTTTTAAACCTTGGGCGGCGAAAGAAAGAGCTCTTCAAGTTGGCTGGAGTGTTCCTTCATTTTTCTCAGAATATTTTCTCCTCGATATCGGTCATTCATTACGATTATTTTCATTTAGGTGATCGGCTGGAAGCATCGCCTTGGAATTCTTTCGGAAAGTAAGTGAAAAGGTTTTAACTTTTTTTTTCCGTTCCATTTCGATCCAACGCCCTTATTTTCAGTGTGGAAAATTTTGGCGGAGTTTCTTGAAGTTTACTTTCATTCCATTCTTGCGTGGCGAAATGTTTACCCCGACTGTATTTTTGAAGTACGACAAAAATATGGGACGCTTGTCCATGTAAGTACTTTTGAATTTTTTTCCTCTGTGTTTTTGCCCGATTTCCATCGGATAAACCAATGTCCATTTAAATGAAGGAAAGTACAGCACTAAATTTTATTAATTTTTAAATCATTTTCATGAAGTACGCGTTCAATTCTTTGAAACTTTCGAGAAAGTTCGACAGAGGGCGCGATATTTTACGATTAAATTTTGTGGTACGTTTTTGGATACTTTCAGCGTAACTATGGTGATTACGCCGATGATTGACTTTATTCAGTGATTGAAGCTCTTCATAGATATAGAATACAGCATTGTATCAATAGAACTTTCGTGGAATTGGACAAATGTAAAAAGAATTCGTTTTTCCTGTGTCCGCGGTTGTGGCACAGCTCATGCTTGATCATTTATTCATTGGCCACGTCCGAGACTAGCATTGCAAAAAGAAAAGATCCAAAACGATCAATTCAACGATTAAAAATAATTTATGTCTGACGCAGGATTTTTTTTTCACCGACTCATTTAGAGAAGGTCCCGTATTTAAAAAATTTCCCGCGAAGTTCCATGCATCCGTAAGTATAGCGTACCGAGTACAATGTGCGATATATTTTGCTTGATAAATTGTTGGAAAAATCAGCGATTTATTGGATGCGCTGATGAAAACGCAATCTTTAAATGTTAAGTTCATGAAATCTGAATAACATTTGATCGAATCCTCCAGAATGTTTTAGTCCAATAAGATGTCAAGATTAGAAAAATTTTTAAACTGGTAATATTTGACACGATGAATCGATATGATAACTGAAGTATAAATAAAATCAGCAGACTTCTCTTCATGCTCTCGTTCAGAGGCAAAATTATTTGAATTCCCGAACGCAAAAAAAATATAGATTTTTTTTTGCCAGTGAATACGGAATTTCCTGGAAATTGTATCTGTTCACAGAATTTCTTTCGAAAACATTTCAGGAATGCATCGACGAGGAAGTCAGGAAATATATTCAACAATCCTTGAGTTCCATGGAAAATTTGTCTAAAAGATGCTGTCTGGAGAAGATTTGCCTCGTCGTGACCGAAGATGATGAAAAGGGATGTCAAAAGCCGATCGAAAAATTCGTCGTACAACTTCGGAGTCCAGTTGCGAATAATTCTGCTCTCGTCGAAGCCGATCCTGCATTCATAAAGGTACCGTCTCTAATCTGAGTGGAAATCTATATTTTTTTATGTTAGATAAGTGCCAAAAATTGTGGGCGCAGTCGATACTGTACAGTATATATAATAGAAACCACGAGAGAGAAAAGAAGTACAGTAAATTTTTAGGAAAACCGAGTAAACCGAAATTCTTCGATAAGAAAAGCGCAGACATATTTTGCAGCTGATATTTTTTAATTTTTTTATTCATTTTTTACTGGTGGATATTTGTATATAGGGCATAAATATGTAAAAAACCCATGTATTCTTAATACCATTATAATTTTCCTCGACAGTTCTCTGGCCAAGATCCGATCATTGTTTAGCTATGTCATAATAGAAATAAAAAACATATGCTTATTGAAAATTTTCGCTGAAATATCTGCGTCGAATTGGAATGGTCCACAACTTGAATGTATTTTAAAGGCCGTATGTTTTTTTTGCGGATTTTATTATATTTTTAGGATAATTTTTCCTCTGGTAATCAGGAATTCACGCTTTAAAAAGAAATTGAAGACTTTTATTCGTTCTTCCGGATAGTTGGAGCAAGATTTCCGTGCTGCCTTGCTGAAAGTTTCCCGGTTAAGCAAAGGCGTTGGAGGAACGCTGACTGAGGCTGAGCCGTGCGAATCAAGATCATTCGCAATTTGGACTGTGATGGAAAATGTGGAAGCTTCGAAATTTCTCAGCGATGATTCCGAACAACACGTGAGTAACTTTAAACCTGACTGTTGGATCTACCTCATTTATTTTTCATCATCGTGTCGGGCGATTTCGAATAACGAATTTTCAATTTAGACAAGAATTTCAAAAATATTTGAAGGTTTGTCAGGTTGGATTTCACATGTTTTCATTCGTCGTAGTTCAGTGGAAGTCTGATAAAAAATTTAATAGGGTGACTTCTGCAAAACATTCAAAAAAAATGTGTCAAACAGGGCTGACTTTTTTCTTGTGCCAAAGAATATGTTTTCCCTAAAGAATAATTGTTTTTCAGCTCAATTATATGCCATTTTAATTTCTATTCCGAAAACTTTTGCTAGACTCCAGGTATATTGTGTCCTATGTTTCGATTTTTGCATGTTCTGACTTTTTCTGAAATCGCTTCAAAGTTGAGCGTTTATTGTACCGTGTGAGATCTGATGCCGCCTCGGCTTTGTTCCGTGTGTGCGAGTATGTTCCCGGAAAATGAAAGAAGTGTTTGGTAAGGACACTCTTGATGCACCAATTACGTCCGCATCTTGGGGTCTCACTCAGTAGACCCCCAGATGCAGACGTACAGTATTTGGTGCATCAAGATTGTCCCAAAGTTGAATTGTCCCTAAGTCAAGTCTTGCTTTCCCATAGACTTACATTATATAATTTTGAATTGATGTTTTATGAAAGAAATATTCTTCAGAATTCCATGAAAAAAATTGTTTGCCACTTGAATTTGATCTGGTGAATAAATTTTCAACTCAATAAGAACATTTGGAGCATTGAATAGTGTACCTCTGTACAGTACATTTAAATGTTTGCATCTGCAAAAATAACACTGAAGTCACAAAGAGAGAAGGAAGTCCCTCCATTATGCAATTGATAATTTTTTTAATTAGCTGGATGAATGGGAGAATGGACAAAGAATTTTTCTTGCATAAATCTTAGGGTTGGAAATATCTGTTTCTTGCAATCAAGCCTAGTAAAAATTAATTTTTGTGGAATTTATTGGCAATTTTGCTGTGCAATGTCCTCATATTGAGTCAGTCCATATGTTGGGCCTTTTTATGCCCTTTTTTTAAATAAATGTCCCTATGTCGAATTGTTCGCATGTCAAGGTGTCCGCATGTGGGAGTCTCTTTAGTTTGATATTGGCAGGCATGTAGAAGTTTCTCAGGTTCAGCACCTAGTGAATTTTATTTCCAAGGCGAAAGACGTACTAGAAGACGGATTAGGAACAGAGTATAGGTCATTGCGTACTCATGTGTTTGTTTATGACGTGTGTGACATAAGCGTTATTCAAGGGATCTTAATAAATTCGTTCATTATTATTATCCCCCCCCCCCCTCAAGGACTTTCCGTGGATTCATTTGGAGAAGTCAGTGGAGGAAGGCAGCAGCGGGGAAATCAGCGGCAAGAGCGTGATACCCATCAGGAACTTCGCTTCACCGATCGGTGACGTGGACATGTTTGTGCTTGCCTGCGTGGATCCCAGCAGCAGCAGCAGAGACCCATGACGCAAACTTTAAATATGATCCCGACCAGCCAAAGTCCCCATTGATCTCAGGAAACTGCGTGGCAGTATAATAAGTCAAGCGTTCTCTGAAAAAGCAGACTCGGGAAGGGTAATCACTTGACTCATGAGAGCGTGAGCTAATTTCTTCCAGTTCCTGTTTCATATGATTTGTTTTTTATTTGCCGTTTTGGATTGAATTGCGCGCCAAGGCCGAAGCATTTTTGTTTACTTTTTCGTTGCTACTGCGTACATTGATTGCCGAACAATATTTTTCATGTGTTTTTTTTCATGGGTTTTTTGAAGAACTGATATGATTTCCGAAGGTATATGTACTGTAGCTTACGAGTCTTCCGCGTAATTAATATGTGAGATTATATCCGGAAATATATTTTTAGTGTGAAGATATCGCAAAATTTGAACGAAATTCCGCTTTAGACTTTCAAAGCCGGATGTATGTGAATAATGGATGCATTATTTTATTTCTTCTCTTACATCGGTTTCTCCCGGTGTTTATTTTTTACATTTTTGTCGCAGTTCAGTTGAACTAAGTTAGGTATGTATATAGGTTAGTGATTCGTGTGACATAAACGATGAAGTCTGGGTTTCAGTTTCACGTACTCCGAAAATAAAATGTGAACGTCATATCTCATCATTGATTTTGGTGAATACCGTAATTCGAGAAATTTTCGAATATTCGTGTCTTCGGTGGTGCTGGTTATAAAAATGATGGAAGCTCGGCGCGTGAATCCAATCGGAAACGATTTTATTAGAAAAATGTTCAGATCGACAGCGTTTTCAAAAGTCGCAATGCTTCGTCATCATCACAAACTACGGTGGTGCTGGTTATAAAAATGATGGAAGCTCGGCGCGTGAATCCAATCGGAAACGATTTTATTAGAAAAATGTTCAGATCGACAGCGTTTTCAAAAGTCGCAATGCTTCGTCATCATCACAAACTATTTTTAAGCGAATATACACACATGAGCTATGTACAAGTTTTCGAGTGGCTATATACAGTTTAGTAAAACTGATGAATTTTTAAAAGCTCGTCAACATGCTTGCAAACAGAGGAGAGAAAAAAACGCGAATGGTGACCATGTATACAAAAATTTTGAGAAAATTGCTTGTTGTATAGCGCTTGCATTTTTCCTGTCCCAACAGATTTTTTTTTTACGGATTTCAAACATTAAAAAGTATTTTTGTATATTGTGGAATTTTTTTGTCGTGATTTGGGTGAATTTTATTCTGTGAGAAAATGTGTGCAGTTAGAAAAGGAGACTTTTTTTCTTCTTTTTTGGCTCATTCTAGAAGTTCAGGAGCAGACTACCGAATGCAGTGAAGAATATGAGCGTGAATGCGGAATGGAAAATGCTTTCGGCGGAATTGGCGTTGCACTTGTCAGTGTCGCAGGAGCAGGCACGGTGGTGCTGGTTATAAAAATGATGGAAGCTCGGCGCGTGAATCCAATCGGAAACGATTTTATTAGAAAAATGTTCAGATCGACAGCGTTTTCAAAAGTCGCAATGCTTCGTCATCATCACAAACTGTGTTTAAGCGAATATACACACATGAGCTATGTACAAGTTTTCGAGTGGCTATCTACAGTTTAGTAAAACTGATGAATTATTAAAAGCTCGTCAACATGCTTGCAAACAGAGGAGAGAAAAAAAAACGCGAATGGTGACCATGTATACAAAAATTTTGAGAAGGTTTCTTGTTGTATAGCGCTTGCATTTTTCCTGTCCAACAGATTTTTTTTTACGGAGTTCGAACATTAAAAAGTATTTTTGTATATTGTGGAATTTTTTGGTTGTGATTTGGGTGGATTTTATTCTGTGAGAAAATGCGTGCAGTTAGAAAAGGAGACTTTTTCTTCTTCAAAAACCGAGTAAGATCTTCAAGTCCTCGTCTGATGGCTTACGTCACTTCTTATACTCGCACTTACGCCTTACCTTTTACGAAAGCCGCCTTAACCGCAACGTGAACAGTCACAGCGTCCTCGTCCGGTAAAACTTGACGTTTTCCATGAGTTCTCCGGACGCCACGTCATCTTTGCAGCCATTTACTTCGAGGTCAAAGAGCTTCAAGTCTTCCAGCGGTAGCATCCCTCTCATCACCACCTTCCCTGTATATGGAAAAGATGAGTTGTTTTCTTTTGGAAAACCCGATTTTGCTTCCTGGGAAGTCACATAGGTGTCGCCTGGATCGATGAATCTTTTGGAAAAATCTAACTGGGATTTTTCTTTTTATATGAACTCGTCCAATACTGTCAAAGTTATCAAAGTTTTGGCAACATGCTAAGAAAGCTTTTTTGTCGAATTTAATTTCAGTGATGAAGAAGAGGAACTTTCCGGCTTGTGCAGTATAAAACAATTAATAACGGATGCACTGGAAGTTAACTTGACGAAATAATGATCAAGTGCAAAGTTCTTGCTGACGGTTGCTGCGAATTTCAAAGTTGAACTTATTTTGTTACTTAAATCAGGCTAAGCATGAGATTATGGTTTAATTACTTATTGTCTTGTCAGCATTTTGAGAGTTTTCTGAGTATATATTTCTGAATTACTTAAGCTATTCTTTGGATTTGAAATCGCAATGCTAAACATTACATTTCCACAGCTTGATTCTCCTGGAGTGATCTTTTTATGGCGATTATTTGCAGTTCTAGAATTCCCACAAAATTTTCTATTTTTTGCTATTGCCCTTTTTTATTTGTAATGATCATAAAAGATTATAAACTAATTTCCATATTCCATGCGTAACTTTTGGGACCTTGGCTTACAAATACTTTATCAGCTTTGTTTTTTGTCTTCTTTTCAAATGTGGAAACCCCATCTTTTGTACGGTAATTTGCATCAATTCTTTTGACATTTCGGCGGTCGTGCCCGTGAAGCGACAATCGATATAAAATCAAATATATTTTCTGATACGAAAGCAAGCTCGGAAACTTGAATTTCTTTCGTTTTCGTCGTGCCGAAAAGAAATCAGTGTGACAGGCCGGTATACAGACTGCCTTCGGAGGAAGTTTTTCACCTTGAAGATGTGACCGGGAGAGATGATAGCCAAGGAAATTATTTGCGGTCGGGTGTATTGGAACCGATAATCTGTGACTCAAAGCGTGGGAAATTCAACGAGAGATATATAATCGAGAAAGAAGAAACCGATTTTGGATAAACGGTTGCGAGGAAAAGAAAAAACTAAATATTCTCTGCTGCCTGCTGACGAATGAGTTCGGCGAAAAATCGTATTTTTTTATTGCTGAATTTTATCAGTTCGCGATTTTGACCAATAATTCAGCTGATCCACTTATTTTTAAAAGGATGCCATGATTGTATAGTGTTAAATTCATTGGTATATGATCAGTCCGCGCATTTTTTTTCCAAAATCTATGGACAATGGGGGAAAAAGTTCATGTAAAATTTGTTTAAATTAGTGAGGCTATCCCAGATGGATGCGTGATGTACAGTACAAGGGTTGTCCCAAATCTGCGCGGCTTTTGATCTGCTCAGGTTGGGAACTGCTGATGCATAAAAGTTTAAAAAATACGTTTTATTTTTCATTATGTTTCTTCCTGCTGGTATTTTTCTATAATTTACAAAAATGTTCAGAACGTTATTGGCACCGCAATAAAATATTCACTTTTGTACCTGAACATCATGATTTCATTCATTTTGCGAAGTAGAGAAAGTTCGGAAATTCAGTTGAGTAAAATACTTGTATGTCACTTTCATTGGTTTTAGTGGTTTTCTCGTCATGTGTGACGAATGTTTTTTTTATTGCTGTATAATTGGTTAGAAGGAGCAAAACCACTCGGAATTTGCCGAGGTGCTCATTATTATTCTTTCTTAAACTTTCAACAAGTGAACCTATCAAAAATGGAAATCACAGCTAAAAAAATTATATAGGAGTCTACTAGAATTTACCAAAATCATTTATAAACCTTGAACTTTTTTACGAATTTAGAGAAACAAATTGAAAAGGCTGGTGCCGTTTTTCTGAAGGTTAGTTTGATTAGGCTTATTATGCAACCGAATTTGTTGTGGTCCATTGGATTTCGTTGTGGAGGGAGTCCACCATACTCAAAGGTGGAACATATGTTACAGTTTCAGTCTTGAAGAAATATTTTATGTCTGCACACTTCTTTATTGGACCCATTTTAATCCTCTCACAGCAAAGTTGGGATATTTTTGCAAAATTATGTACTCAAAAAAAAAGCAACTGATAACCAAGGCTTGAGTTGGGAAAAGGTCCAATATTTTTTCTCTGCTGTCAGAAAATTTTTCCTGAAAAAAAATTTTTTTGGGGGGTGGAATTTTGTTCTGCATTTACAGCATAGGATTAGTGTTGAAGATGTTATCTGAGAACAGAAGGATTCTTATTTGCTTTTGGATTGTTCCCAACTGGGGCCATATCTCAACCCAGGTGCCTTTGTTTGACCTTCAGAAAAACTGACACATGGGACTGATGTTTGCAAAGAAATCCTGATTTTTGCCCAGGATGGAAAGGAGGCCGTCACAGACCAAGGGTTAGTAAAATACTGTCTGAATTAAATTTTTCAGGACAGCCAGATTTTGAGCCTTATACCCTTACAGCAGTGAATAGTACATGTGGTACCTCGCAATTTGACTGCTTCACAATTTGACCCTATAGTTTGGCAATGGATGGCCAAACCAATTCAACTGTCCCATAAATCCATGGTCAAATTTGAAGTGAGGTTAACCTAACTAATATAACTAACTTATATTGAGGCAACATCTGTTCCCAATAGCCCCACAATTTGACTTGTTTTGGCCAATTTTTTTGTGCATTTATGTGCTGATTTTTCTTGAAATTTAATGAAGTGTCTCGCAATTCGACCGATGCTTCAAAATTTGACCCAAGTTTGGCGATGGATTAGGGTCAAATTGCAAGACAATTTGTTGAATTTTTAAGAAAAAGTCAGTACAAAAATAATTTCCCAAAGCAAGTCAAATAACTTATATTGGTGCGACATCTGTCCCCAAAAGCCCTGTATTTGACTTGCTTTGGCAAATTATTTTTGTACTGACTTTTTCTTAAAATTTAACAAATTGTCTTGCAATTTGACCCTAATCCATCACCAAACTAGGGTCAAATTGTGAGACAGTTCATTAAATTTTAATAAAAATCAGTACATAAATAAAATAAAATAAATTGGCCAAAGCAAGTCAAATACAGGGCTTTTGGGGACAGATGTCGCCCCAATATAAGTTAGTTATATAAGGTATAGGGTTGAATTGCAAGTCAACCTCTCTTCAGATTTGACCATCCAATAATGTGGGATGGTCGAATTAGGAGGTACCACACCTATACCAATATGAAACCCCCCCCCCCCCCGAAAAAAGACTCACCTGACCGGTTGTTTTCGTGGAACACGAAGCATTTGAAACCCGGGAATTGGTGCACGAGTCCGCCGTAAACGGCGTCGGGCTTCCCGGGATCGTAGTCCTCGCACTGGTGCAAATGCTTGGATCTCTTATTACTATTCCCATCAGCAACGGCCGTGTTATTGTTCAACTGCATCACGCCGGCGTCTTCCATGAAGCTCAGACTGTAATCCGAACACAGCCAACATTGCGGCGATTTCTTATTGTCATTTTTATTATTATCGGACGACCCGTTGAGCGCGTGCATTTTCCCCATCATTTGAGGCGGCATGAAGACGCCGTGTCCGTCTTGTTTGGGTTGCTTGGTATTGGTGCTTTTGTTATTGATGCCGGCGAGTGGCGGTGATGGGGACGAGGCAGACTGGTGATGGTGATCTGCGGCGGCTGCTGCTGCCGGGGGCGGCTTGGGTGATGATGATAATGATGCGGGGTGTTTCGAGTCTGCTGGCGGCTGCGGCTTTTTTCCGCCACTGCTGCTGCTGACAGGCGACTCTCCGGGTTTTTCCTTGCTACCCCCTGTTTGCGAATGTATTTTTATATATTTTTTAAATTGAGGTTATCCTGTGTTACGGTGTTACCTGAGTATATGGTACAGTTGAACCTCTGTAAGTCAAATTTTTAGGGACCAGCATAAAGGAAACAAATTTGACTTAGGGAGGTTTTGAGTTGGGGGAACAATCATTTTTGCTGCAAGGAAATGTTAAAAAAAAATTTGCAGAAAATTGTTAATGAGGATATTCTGGGCCTAAACTTGCTTCTTAATGGGTTTATAGCTTGCTGAACTTGTACAAAGGGGTTCATTTGTTTAATTAGTCTTTCACTTCCTTTCAAAATGCATAAAATCACTTGTTTTATTGATTTTTTCTTTAATACATTTCAATGAAATAGTTACAAAAAGGCCTCAGTAAATTTGACTTACAGAGGCTTGAGAGAAAAAGACTGAGTTAGGGAGGTTTTTTGTACATTATTGTTTCTAAGGGAATTCAGACAGGTACTAAAACAATTCCAGCTAGGGAGGTATTTGACTCAAGGAGGTTCCACTTACAGGGGTTCAACTGTATATCTGATGATATGCCATCAGATAGAGAAGGACCCAGACAAAAAATGCATCACCGAGGAGAAAAAGCACACAGATGAATGGGCCTACTAGACAGAAGAAGCAACAACAAAAATCAAGTACGCCATTATATGACCATTGTTTTTGTAAATTTAAGGAGTTAAAAGTGTTGGTATCATATGAAACTTCCTTCTCTGATGCTTTAATGACATCATTGTGATAAAGCATTTCATAATGCTGATTTTCATAAAAGATGAAGATAGTTCTTTGGATGAAGGAAATTTCTGTCAGGATCAATATTTTTTTTCATTGGATGATCTTTATTATTATAGATGAGTGATCTTTGTGCAACATATGTTTTGTCTTTTGTGTAGTAGTTGATCTTGGTGTGAATGCTTTTATTAGTTTTGCTTTTTGTCTGTGTAGTTTTCTCTGGAGGAATGTCTGAATCAGTCTGAACTTTGTCAGAAATCAGTGCTTCTGGACATCTTTGTGAACTTCAATACAGGAAAACTATCAGCAAGTCCAGCATTGGAGAAATTGTAAAATGCATATACTTCATATACTGTCATCATTCATAGCATGTCAGAAATTAAAGAAGGGGTGCTTTTTGAGGGATTCACTTATCATTTCCTGGCCACTTATTGTTGAATTTTGAAAATTTAGTTGAAAGAAATTAAGAAAAGAAGGTGGTGAAAATAATGCAGTCATTCACAGCAATGTGGAGCTGAGGTTCACTGGTCACACTTGCCCCTTTTATTATTCAACAGGTGATCTAAGTAATTTCATCAATGGTTGAAAGAGTGTCAAACACCTCCTTGTGTATATAATGTTGACAACCATACATGTGCCTATAGATACAGGGTTGTTTAATTTGGTGTGGTGATGAGAGTAAAAAAAGATCCTTAAAATTCAAACCAGTGTGCAACAAGTTTTCCAAATTTAGCTGCTGTACAATACTTGGAGATTATCCTCACCAAATGAAAAGAAGGCTTCTTTCAAATCTTGGCATTGATCAAGTGGTTTGGAGGAGCTTGATTCAGATGCTTTGGTGCCCAGAAAACTTCCTATTAGAGTTCAATTTTCATGATTTTTTATTGATGATTTTTAAGTTTGTAAATCCAAATGACAGCTGAGAGGATGATGCTGAACAGTGCTATCAACTTTACTGATGAGCTGATGCTTCAAAAACGTCTTTCTGAATCAAATAAACCCTCTTGAATAATTTCAGGTTACTTCTATGGAATGTATAATCAACACATGATGTGCAGCTCAGTATACTGAACCATCTTAATACTCTAGACCAGTGTTCCCCAACCCATGGTCCACAGACTGGCGCCAGTCCACAGACGTTTTTTGCTGGTCCACAGGAAAATTTCTCCAGCATGATAAATTTATAGAAGGTCATAACAAAGTCAGTTATCCTTAATTATCTGAAATTTTTGGGAAAATCGCAGTTAAAATTACCCAAGGAAAAATCAAAGTTAGCTTGTCTTCTTATTATACACTAAACGCTTCAGGCATGTCTTCACCTGCCTGAAATATATTATATATTATTTTCAGTTTTAACTCCAAGAAGCCTTTGTTGAAGCTCAGCTTCCTATTTTTTTTTTGAAGACATTCCAATATATTGATACTTTTGGTTCTTGAATTAATTTTTGCAATAAAAGTTTTGTTTTGAGAACTTCTTTGCAGGTATTTAAAAAGTTTTCCGGTTCTTCAAAAATTGTATGACAATTTGCTGGTCCACAAAATCTTTTATGAAATTTTTATGTTCCATGAGCAAAAAAGGTTGGGGAACACTGCACTAGACTATAACAATCTTTTCCTGCCTATAGGGGCAAATGTGTTACTGTTAAAAGTGGCAAATGTGTTACTGAAGGGTTGAATTTTGCTTGATTGGGGTATGGGTGTTTTCTTAAACATCAAATCAAGACATTTCTTGCAAGAGTTTCATGTGAATGAGTTGATTACTTCCTTGAAAATGTCTTTTTAATGAATATTCTTCAATTTCCTTCAAATTTGGTCCAGTCAGAGGTGCATAAAAAATAGTACAACCACCAGCACAAGATGAGTCTATATGTAGGTGTTCTGGGTATTTTGCAATGTCTAATGTACTGCATGTTTCATGTACACTATTTCTGCAGTTGTGTAGGATTTTAAGAATTTTACCCATTAAACCCCATGAAATA